CCAGAAGGAAAAAGGTGAAACTTGTGGGTTAAGATAAGAACAGTCGAATAGAACAGAAAGGAAGAAACTAATAATGATAATAATAACAATAATAAAATTACAATAATAATAAAAGGATTGGAATATACAAAAGAATTGATGCACAATGCAATTGCTCACCACTTGCCGACCAATGTCCAGTTAGTTCCTAAGCAGCCATTCCCCCAGGCCAGCTCCCTGCAGTTTATATACTGGGCATGATGTCACATGGTATGGAATACCCCTTTGGCCAGTTTGGGTCACCTGCCCTGGCTGTGTCCCCTCCCAGCTTCTTGTGCCCCTCTAGCCTTCTTGCTGACTGGGCTTCAGAAGCTGAAAAATCCTTGACTTAGTATAAACACTACTTAGAAACAACTGAAAACATCAGTGTGTTATCAACATTCTTATACTGAATCCAAGACATAACACTATACCAGCTACTAGAAAGAAAATTAACTCTATCCCAGCCAAAACCAGGACAGTAGCTTTTACAGGTAGACTTTGAGTAGACTCACTTAGCTGCTATTCTGCTTGTAAGAGTAACTTTGCTTTGGCAGAAAGGGCGATACTTTTGAGGGTGAAACAAAAGCCTTTCATTGCAGTAAGCAGGACATTGAGTGTGGCTCCTGTTAATATTTCAGTTTGTGGCAGCTTCTGAAGGCCCTGGAGATTTTCAGACATCTTTGAAGGTATGGGAGGGCTCAAACAGACAGGATGCAGCAGTAAATGAATATGTCTAGATCTTTCTCTGAAAGTGGTATGTTAGTTGTCAGCATGCTGACTTCTGTCGAAATGGTAATGCATCGCTGCCCTTGACTGCAGCCATGTCTTGCTTGAGTCACTCCAGGTAACAGTTTCTTCCGACTGTGGACTTGGTCTGTCTCTACAGGAGACCACTTTCTGTTGTAGAAAGCAGATGTTAGATCCTGGAAGGTGCTGCTGTAATCACCTCTGCTGCTAACGGGGGCCAGACTTCTGTTCTGATCCCTTCCTTGTAGGCTGTTCTTGACGTGAGTGTTGGCTCTGACTTGAGCAAGGCAGAGAGCTGGAAGGTGTCGCCAGCAATGGCTGGGTTTCTAAACACCCAGTCATGTACATGTGGGGCAGAGGCACTGGAGCTTGGAACAGCCACGCTGTATGTGGCAGAATCAGTGACTTGGCTTACCATGCAAAGCCGCAGCAAAAACTGTTACTTGGCATCCCCTGCAGCTTTGCAAAAGTTCCTTGGCAAAGCTCTTCACTGCATCTTTCCCTGCTTGAAGCTTAGTGTTCATCTTAAAAAATTTTAGACTCTCTTGAATGCTAGACTGCCTTGAGTAGTCTTTGACCTTTTTCTGTACAAATTTTCTTGAGTGAGGGCAGCAGGAAATTGTTGACCATAGCTGTTTTGGTCTCAAAATTGGTCTAGCAGCTGTGTCAAACTTCACTTTGTGAATGCCCCAAAATAAACCCCAATTCAGGATAAGGTTTTTTTTGGTTCTGTGAAAATCAGAGTTACTCTCTTCTCTGGTTGTTTTGAGAAAATTCTTGCAGCACTTTCTCTTCCTAAGAAAAACCCAGAGTATTCAGTCCCTCTGAAAAGGCGTATTGCCAGAACTGAACTCCAGCAAAGAGTGTTTCACAGTAAGAGTTGTCATGTGACCATTAGCAGTTGTCTCCATCCATTGTAATTGTAGCTGGTATGCTCAGAATCACAATTGAGAGATTTGTCTTGCTCTGTTTATAGTTACAGCACCAAAGGGAAGTTTTAACTCTTTGTTTTCAAGTCTTAAAAACAAGACAAAAATTCCTTTGGCTGCACCCATGCTGTAAATCAGTATATGTTGTTATCTGCTGAATGTGTATTTCACAGTTGTCTTCACATAGCAGTTAACCTGGAGTTCTGAAACAACATCGATCTGGAACACAGGCTTTTACAACTGTTTACTGAGGTTTTGAAGAAGTTGATCATGTAACAAAACTTTTTACATGTATCTATAATCCTTCCGAAGTACATCCCAGTATTAGCTGTTGAAATGATCTTCCTGCACTGATAATTCCTGGTAACTTGATTTACCCCGGATAACAGCTTCAACTAATGTGTGGGGTTTGTGTTGTTTTGGTGGTGGTTTTTTTTTTTTGTTTTAGTTTTTTTTTGTTTTAGTTTTTTTTAAACTGTGCTAGTTGAGGGCCTATCATGTGCTAGGGGCAAATGAGAGGAAAGAGCAATCAGTACTTCATATGTTTGTTTCTTCTTGACTTTTATCTACAGCTCATCATAATTTTTATCTGCTTTGCTTCCATCTTGGATCAAGAAGGCAAAGGCTTACTACATTTATTCTCACAGTTAAGAACTTTCTCAGTCTTCTGGCTCCCTATAAAACCGCATGAAAAATCCTTTCCATGCATGTGTATGCTTATACACAAGGGTGTGCACACACACATATATGAATATATGAAATTGTCCTTTTCAGGTGCACAGTCTACAAAGCAATCATGAATCTAAACATGCTTTTTTATCTACACGAAATAGCTTTTCATTACTGCCTTCCTTTGTAGGACAGTGACTTGAAGCAGTACTGGATGCCTGACAGCCAGTGCAAAGAATGCTATGACTGCAGTGAGAAATTCACCACCTTCCGGCGGAGACACCACTGTCGACTTTGTGGGCAGATCTTCTGTAGTCGATGCTGCAATCAGGAAATCCCTGGAAAATTCATGGGCTACACAGGTGGGGTTTATTTGTTGAGAAGCAGAATGTTCTCTGTGTGCTCAGCTCTGTTTGGACTACTACATTTTAGATTCTGGCATCTGCTAGAGAATGCTGTACAGGTCTCTAGTGGGCTTAGAAATAAGCAAAAAGAATCACAGTACCTAATTCTACCAGTTTCTTCATGCACAATGGTGGATTATGCCATGCCTGCTTATTTTTACCAACATTACATCAATGATGACAAAACAAATATGGCCACTATTTAACAAGGATGTTCACTACAAAAAGTGTGCTCAAGTAAAATCTGCTCTTAGTAATGGTAATTTTAAAATGTAACGAGCCACATGTTCTAACTGAGGATGAGGGGAATTCTTTCAAATACCAATTACCAAACTCTAGACATCTCCTGATGGAGGTAATTATTTCCAGACATCAGCTGGTATGTCATATCTGACTGGCTATTGTTGTACCATGATTTCAGTGTGCACATGTGCTGTCTCTCCCTGCCCCTGCAACCTGTCTCTCTCTTACCGATCATGTGTTATGCATCATTTGACATGGAGAAATTCCCTGAGAGTATATTTATCTGGGGTTTTGCTCTTTAAGGGAATATGAGAACTAGACTTAAACATGCAAAGAGGTTTTGAAACAGAAAATCCTTCTTTTCCCCCCACTACACACCTCTGATCCTGTAGGAACAGAGTACTATTTGTTCCTGTTCACTTAACACTCTCTGGTTCCCCTTTCCATAGGGGATCTCCGAGCCTGCACTTACTGCCGCAAAATAGCCTTAAGCTATGCACACTCCACAGACAGTAACTCCATTGGAGAAGACTTAAATGCTCTGTCCGATTCTGCGTGTTCTGTATCAGTGCTGGATCCTGGCGAGCCACGCACACCAGTTGGGAGTCGTAAAGCTAGCCGCAACATCTTTCTGGAGGAGGATCTAACCTGGCAAAGGTAAAGTGAATGGCTTCATGCTGAGCTCCAGAACCTTAACTGTGTTTTCAGGCTGATGCCTGCCTAGACAAAAGCTGGTGGTTTCCATCCAGGAAACTTAGAAGTATATCTCCTGTGAAAAGAATGTAATCCTGTGCTTGCTTCTAATATTATTCTCTTCAAGTTGAAATGTGGAAACTTTTCTAGTGAAGTTTCAAATTATTTGCAGTTCTTCCTTTGAACCTAGGAAGGTTCCTATTGAACCAGTGATTCTATACTAGTGACAGAGTAGGCTTTTAGCTTCAGAGTTTAAAAAGACAAAACCAAACCCCACCCCTTCTAACCACCAGTGTATCAAGAGGCAAATGAGTGTGGTGCCGATGCTTTGCCTGTCAGGTTTGGGGATTGGGCAAGACAATACAAGAGGTGCTGTCTGTGTAATTAAGAGATAAATGGTGGAAGTAACCACCTGTTTCAACTGAAGTGGGATTGAAAGGACAGCTATAAAGGTTCTCTGATCTCCTTTCAAAGTATATTTCTTTGTATTGCTCTTGAATGAGGGGATCTTTATTTCTGGAAGATGAATGAAAGAACAATGCACTTCTCAAGTGGTATGCAAGTTAATTTCTGCGGACCTTGATTTAATTTAATGTGGTGGGGGGAGGAAGAAATAATGAGACGTGGTATTTGTGCTCATTTTTCTAAAAGCAGAAGAACAGGCAGGTGTGAAACTACCAAGGAGGCCTTGAGTCAGAGCCTTTCTTCAACTGAGGGATAGTGTTAGTGACATGTGCCTCTCAGCAGATCTCTTCTAGTGGTCCTGATAGTATTAAAAGAAAAACCTCAAAAACAACTGTCTTCAGAAAATTCTCTGACTCTTGCTTTGCCTGTTGCTTTTCAGAGTATGGTGTTCCTATATGGAAGCAATTAAATAATCAGCTTTAGGCCTAAATAAAGGAAACTACTTCTGGTTTAATGTCATGGTTATCTAAAGCAGTAATGTTGCAATGCTTGGGATAAATACTACTAAATTTTGAATGGGGGATTAAGTATGTGTGCTCGGAATGCTTCTCTTCAGGTGTACAAAATAATAGAAGGTATCATTAATTCTGTTTTCTGATGTGTTATTAGTATCTTTTATTATGACAGCGCAACAGCTTGTAGACATGAACATGTAAAGAAAGTATTTATATATTTATTTGGGGCAGCTTGTAGCACTCGAGAAAAAATACTGCCTAATCTTGAAAGGCTGATAACTCATTCTATACTAGAACACTTAGTCTTGTTGGGAGACACTGAGTAAACATGGGCTGCTTTTATGTGTGAAAGGGAGAGAGATCGAGATTAGGTAGTTCATTGTTGCTTTAGGAGGATGAAAATTGTCTTCAGTGCTTGTTGCTCTTGAAATGTAAAACTTTGCAGTGGACTACAGTGCTTTTTTAATATTGCATTTGTTAAGTTCCTGATTGACCTTCAGAGGTTTAAACTCAAAACATTGAACTTGCCACTTTCCACTGTGGTGCAGTTTAACTCACAGCTTCATAAGCAAAGTTTTTTGCTAGTATGTGGCTTCTGTGTGAGAAGTAGTTTTCTTCAGAAGGAAACTTGGCAGTTGAGTCTCTTCCCAAAATAATGTATCTGAGTTAAAGCTCTTGCCTCTCCTGCTCTCATATGCTACAAAGCAGTGAGGAAGGCATTTAGGGGAGTGATGCTGTATTTACTTATCTGACATTGCTCTGTTCTTTGAGCAGTTGGAACATACAGTCATGGGCTCCTGCTTTAACTAACTTGAAGGGCCATGTCCTTTAAAAGTGAAGGAGTGGTGTACTCTGGGCAAGTACAGCTGCTCAGGCAAAGTTGTATTTTGTATGTTTTCTCATGAAGAGCATTTATTGTGCTAGTAATGTGTCTACATCCCAGGGCACAGCCAGTATGGCTGTATCAGTTGGACTGTAGTGGCTTATATCTGATACAGTTTTGCCAGTAGGAATTTATAAGAAAAAGGAGGGCAAAGGTGATAGTGATCAGGTTAAACAATTACAGAAGGTTGTCAGGCTATCTTGGTAAAAGTTGTCTAGCAATAGCTATAGATAGCATTGCTTGGGTTGCAAAGATGTTGGGGAGATGGGGGCAATGCCTCTACCTCCAAAGCACAGAATAGCAGCCTGTAAGGAAAGAGAATGTATAAGAAAGTGATAGAGGGGAAGAGGGTGGGAAGGCAGGGTGATGGGAGAAGTGGGAAGAGGCTGTATTGTCCAAGAATTGAGTCTGAAGGGAGAAGACTTGAGCACTGTCTTCCAGGTATCATTGGCCTACAGATGGGGAACGACTTCCCTGTTCCCTCATTGATCTAACAATCATGGCTGTGAATGAGAGATGACATTATAATTAACTGTATTTTAATTCCAGCTGTTCTGATGCTGCTGCATGTAGCAAATCTCTCAAACATCTGTAATGTGCTCCTTTTCCTTGCAGTTTGATTCACCCAGACTCTTCAACTGCCACGTTGTCTGCACGCCTTGGGTCTGTCCAGGAGGATGCAGGGAAGTCGCCAGCTAGGAACAGGTAAACTAATTGTATATGAGTATTTTCTGTTCTGGCTACACTCCTAGCATACTCTTCACTGTAGAGCCTGTATTTTGGGGCTTGTTTTTACTGTGCGTGCTGTTTCATGTCTAAAATGGGACACTCCATTACCCATATGTAATGGTAAGTAAAGACCATTTATGTACATATTCATATTAATAAATGTACTACTTTTGAGGAACCTGTAGTTTGCTGCTGAGTCAGACAAATAGAGGTGGTGGTGAAGAGGGCAGAAAGGGAAGGAAGTAGCTAAGAAAGGTAGAGTTCTGAGGAAGCTAAAGAAAAGGGAGTAACAGAGACTTGGTAATGGGAGGCAAAGGCTGAGGTCATGGAGGAGCAGAGGTGTAGTTTTTGTTTGGTTTTGTGGTTCCCCACCCACCCCTTCCTGTTCCCTCTGCTCTTGCATTAAGTATAATCTTGTTTAATTGATCAGGCTTTCCTAGGTTAAAATCCCATCATAGGTCTTTATGCAAGAGTGCTGGAATGAACTCGGAAATGTTCGTGAGAGCTTTAGTATAAGTTGTGAGTGCTTGAACTTAATCCCACTAAATAGCCTGGTATTAGAAGAACAAGTAATTTCTACTTCACACTGCTTCTGCTATGGTACTGGTTACATACTTCCATTATGGTTAAATTGGGGAAATAAAGGGGAGGCAAGGATATGAGGAACAGAGCAAAGACAATCCAAATTTCAGTGTTGGAGTCAGGAGACATTCAGAGACTTCTTTGCATTGGTGTTACTGGAATGCAGAATGTTTAGCAATTTGGAGGTATCTGGCATGACCAGCGAAGACTAGGGAACTCAGCTGAGAAGGATGCTGGGTGTGCCTTTCAGGGAACAGACTGCTTGGAGTCTTTATCTTCTGTGTGATGGGGACAGTTAGGAGGAGATGCATACTGACTGTACAACTGAGAACTAAAAATCTCACCTAGGGGGAGTAAAATACTGGTGAATAAACTGGTACCAAAAATCAATTCTGGGCAAACATGACAGGGAGTCCAGACTTAAAAGTTCCATGCTAAATAACTGCAGTGACATCAAGAAATTTCTGAAACCTTGAGGATGCTCTCCTGCTTCCCGTTTGAATTGATGCTGTCTATTTTAAAAGGCTTTTGCTGTTAGTTCATATGTGCAGTAGTAGGAGGGTTCTGAGCTGGACCTGGCAGGCCCAAACTGCTCATGCAAGTTAAATTTTAACTCTCTGGCTATTCATAGCCTCACCATAGTACCTACCTGTCTGGACTCACGTTTGAGAAGTAACAGTGAGGTATAACCTATCTCTGTCAAAATTCTGAACCTGTGGAAGCAAATCTACTGGCTTTGGGCTAGGCAGTGCTAGCCTTTAGATCTTCTCAAAGCAGCTGTAGAAGCTGCTTTGAGGCAAGCTTGACCATGCCTTTTTTTAGTGAGATGAAGCAAGAAAGATGCAGGTTGAGTGCATTTAGATGCAGGTAGCAGAAGTTACTTGGTATTATTTTTTTTCCCTGTGGGTGGGGGATATGTGTTGTTTTTTCCCCATAAATAATCAGTCTGAGGGGAAAAAAAAGCACAACAGTCAAATGTTGCAAGCAGAGGGATTTGAACTTCTCCTTTGCAGATCCGTCTAAAGAACAGGGATTTTCATTGCAAAATCTCCCCCTCTGTTTTTAGTAAAGATAAATACAATAAAGTCCTGGATGTAATTGGTGATGATAAAGACACAGATATGAAATCTGACTGTTCTAACTCTTGCTCCATGTCCTTTTACACAAATTAAAAATACCTGCTGATTACAGGTAGGTGGCACAGTTAAAGTAGCTGTTGTGAAAAAACTGGGAGGAGTGCTTAATGATGGACTTTCATGTCAGTCTCATCTTCCACTTAAGAATGCTTTTTGTTAAGCTGCATAACTCTGCCAGTTCTAACTCTGTTTGACTTGAGAGCATCTGAACAGTAGAAGACAGGCAGAGTTTTAGCCTGCCTTGAATGCCTGACTATGACAGAAAGCTTTTGCTTATCACCCCTAGATGTATGTGGATGTAGTGCCAACATTAGTTTCCTTTGATTCTACATAAATGGATAAAAAGGACCTAACTAAACCCCTATATCAGCCCAGTATTCCTCAAGAGGCAGAGGAGGAAAAAGCAGTGATTTTGAGACTATTGTACCTTCAGTGCCTACTTCTTACAGTACAAAAGCTGAAATAGGGTGGCATTGCTATTTTATGCCTGGGCTCAGTCACATCATCCATTGAGAATTCTTGGGAATAATTAGAGTGTCTGTAATCCACTTAGCAAGCTCTGTGAAGTTATCTGAGTTTCATTCCAAAGATGAGAGGCTTGCAACAGTTCTCATCACTGAGACTGCTGCAAGCCTCTTGAATCAGTTCAGCATTGGCATTTTGAGCTTCCCTGGTGCTGTATGCAGAAGTGTTTTCCATCTTCACTCCTTAGAGCACTGTTAGCATGAATAGCTTACACTGTATGCTTTTTACTGCTGTGTGATGAGAAGTTGCACTCTGGTTATTCAAAGGCTTAGTCTAGTCGTGGGATATGGGAGCAAAGCGTATCTGAAACTTGTATTTGCATTTGTAGCTCTGCAATGATTATTGCAAAATGGTGTGTTTGTACTGGAGTACATAGCCAAGATTTCTTAACAGCTGGATTGAGATCAGGTGAATGCTCCATATCACAGTACAAGGAAAATTGCCAGTTGGAGTGACCTCCAGCTTCAGCAGACAGTTTAGCCACCCTAGGGAACAGGTGCTCAAACTTCCAGACTCTGCAAGCTGCCAGCCATATATTTCAGAGAGCTGAGGAGAAGGAATTTTAAATGGGTCAAGGAGAGGGGGAATCTCAGTGCCCTGTTACAAGGATCCTGGTGTTGGCTGCCCTTGCTGGCATTTGTCTTGCCTCCAGAATGCTGGAACTTCTAGTTACCCAGCATCCCATCTCTTCCCCAGTCCATTCAAACACAGACATATATGAATTGCTGTGCCTAAACTTAGTTCTAATTGCTTCCTACAAAGAGCTTTAGAAAAGTTTGCTTAACTTGGATGTTCCAAAGCAATACACTTGCTTCCTAGGGGTCCTTTCTTCTGCTTTGATGGGGGAGAAAGCTTTAAGCAGTAAGTCAGTACTGAGGAGACTGAACAATGTCACAGGCTTAAGTTCCTTTTTAGCATGCTACAAGTTCAATACCTTCTCTGGTGCAGCACTGCACAATGAACACTTAATACTTAAATTCTTCTCTCTTCCACTACAGATCAGCCAGCATCACTAACCTGTCACTGGATCGGTCAGGTTCACCAATGGTGCCTGCCTATGAGACATCTGTCAGCCCCCAGGCCAGTCGCACACACTTGAAGGCAGAGACCAGCGAGGACGAGCGCAAAATCCTTCTGGTACCTTCCAAACTTCTGTTTGTGTTGCTCTGTGAAGGCAATGAAATTTGCCTTTCTTGTATCATGCAGCAGGAGTATCTTGCTGCCTTTAAAGGCTCTTGTCTGAGCACTTTTACCTGGACCCCTCCTCCAGGTGATGCAGGCATGGAGAATATTGATGCTGCTTTGGACACTTCTGTCTTCCCGAAACAAATCATAGTTTCATGTGGTGTTTGCATAACGTGTTTACAGTTTTAGTCTTGGGAAGTGTTACGCAGTGTGGAGTTCGTGTATGGTGGCTCCTTGTGGGTTAAACCTGTCATGGCTGCAGCTGTAATGCAATAATCTGATTCTGTATTTCTCGAAGTTCAGATTTTCCCTTTCATAGGCCACATAATCAGAAACTTTAAATGGCTGCTTCAAATTGGTTACACCATGATGAACAAGTTAAAGCTGTTAGAGCTTATTGGGCCAAAACATAACTTGGCCCCTCCCCTTGTTTGCAGAATAAATATAACATTTTGTAGAAGATTGTAGTGACGTACTTGTTCGAAGAAAAATCAATGTGCAACAGTGTTCTGTGTAATCCTATTATCCCCTCCTCACAGAGGCAGTGTTATAGGTGGCAGTTACTCTACAATGTTCAGTAGAAAACTGTTTCTTTTCTTTGAGGAAGGGCAAGTGTTTCCAACAAATGGAGCAAAAAAGATGCAGAGAAGGGAAGGGAGTCACACATTTAAAGATTCAAGATTGTTCCCCATTGCCAGTTTAAAATAGGGAAGGCTAATTACTGTGTTGTCAGGTATTTGCCTGCTGTCAGCAAGATGCATGCAAGTATTCCTGAGGGTGCAGAAACACTCTAGTTCCTGTTCAGTTGCACAACTCCTTTCCAGGGTGCTCTGTAAATGGATAACCACGTGAGAGAAATATTTTTAAGGCACATCTTTATACCACCCTGCCCCATCTGTGTATGTTAATGCAGGAAAAATGAGATTTAAAATGCTATGAATGCAACTTGGACCAAGATGATCAAGTTCCAGTGCACTTCAGCTTCACATTGTTTAATTTTTTGTTTGTTTCCTTCCTTGGGGGGGGGAAAGGATTGGTAGTATCTCTTCTGTTTATGTAAGAGTGGAAGATGCAGTGTCAATTAATGTAGGATTTTCTCTGAATTCCCGCTGTTTGTTTAATGCCCTTAGCATGTAGAGCTAACTCTATATCAGCAGTTAATTTAAAGCTTAACATATTCCATTCAAAAGACTAATGAACTTTGCTCATGAAGTAAAAGATAGGGGAGGATGTACATACACCGGGGTAAGCACATACTTTTGTGAACTAGAGGTCAAAATCCTTGACTTGAAAGGATTTGCTGAGTTCTGCCAGTTTGTCCAGTTTACTGAAGTCACCATGTGAGTTAAGGGTAAACTGCAAGGCAGCTTAACTGGAATTGCCAGTTGCATCAAATTTTGTGATCCTATGACGTGTTCCATTACTGATCCATTTGACTCTATACGTGGTACGGAAGGGGAGCTGCTGATGTTGGTTTTAGGATAATACCCAGGACAGCCACTGCTGGAAATAAAAGCAGAAAGCTAGTCTGGTAACAGAAGTGGAGCAAAACACTTGGATCTCAGTGCACCCTTGGGAAAGTGCAATAATGTGGGTCTGGCAGTTAACTGGAAAGCTGAAACCAGTTCAAATTTAATGAAAACTTCTTTTTCTCTCTTACACAAAACCAGAACAAGGCATTTGAGAAAGTGAGCTGCAGTGTCTCTTCTCTACCCCTTGGGGTGCTCTGTTGCTCGTGCAAAATAATCCCAGGTCCCAGTTTCCACTGCAACAATAGATTGTGCTGTGCCAAGCCAGGGTGCATATGGGAAAGCAAAAGGGGCCAGATGCAGAGGGACAGCTCAGTTTGGTTGGAGCATAGCTGACACAAGAGTAGGTGCACATGCTTAACAGGCCTGAAAATAAGTTTGAGGTATAGGCTGAAGTCTTTCAAGTGGTGAGGGGAAGAGGTCCACAGATTCAGAAACAGTTAATTGAGTTGGGAGGGGTACGCACCTTTTTTTTTTTCTTAGTGGCCAAAGCTAGCAGTGTCTAAAAAAGGTGTGATGCTGGACAATAAAAAGGCATCTTCAACAAGAAATGGTATCCCAGAACTTGAACGTAGCAGTGTGCACTGCTGTGTCAAGTATTTGCTTTATATCTGGGCTTGATAATGGACTGGTATGCTTCACAAAGCCTAGATTGAGCACATTATATAGAAAAAACCCTCTTCCAAAGGATGAGTTTTCGTTGTCCTCTATATTTGCACAAACCACCTGAGTTGTTTGAGAATAGGGTGCAGGAGCGAAGTAGTGAGGACATAAGTATCTTGTAGGCAGTACAAAATCTTGCCACATTAAAACCAAAACCCCCTTAACTGTGAGGATACCCACTTTGTTTCTTTCTTTTTCTCGACTTTATATAAGGGAAGGATATAAGGAGCTGATCTCATGTCTGTTTGCTGTTTCTGTTTGCACCTTCACATGGGTAGGGCAGAATAGCTTAGATTTTATGCCTGTTTGTGGAGGGCTTTTTATCTAGAAGCTGATCTGAGGGCCCAGGTTGATGCCCTTGAAACCAGTGCTAAGGTCAGACTAGTAGGTAACTTGCACATCTCCCTGTCCAGGACTCAGTCCAGCTGAAAGACTTGTGGAAGAAAATCTGCCATCACAACAGTGGGATGGAGTTTCAAGACCATCGCTACTGGCTCCGGACACATCCCAACTGCATTGTGGGAAAAGAGTTGGTCAACTGGCTCATCAGAAATGGGCACATAACCACAAGGTAACCCTGATGCTTTAGGACAGCAGGTGTCTCCTGTCTCTGTGACAGGAGGTTGTGAGTTTTAGCTGATAAAGGGTACTTTAGACTGCAAAGATAGACCCCTTTGCAGGGAGATGAGAAAGAGAGAAAATTCGGATCTCTTCTTTACTGCCTACCAAAGCAGGTAGGGTTCTGACTCCCTGTGGCCCCAAACAACAGGGCACAGGGCGCTGTCTGTTTTGGGAGCTGGTGTGAGAGGCAGCTTATGGGACAAGTATCACTCAAACAGTTGGAGAACAGTGAGTGTATTACAAAAACTGTCCAAAAATGTTCACCGATACTCCAAAGGGCAAGTCTGCCTCTGGGATCAGAGATCACCAATAGTGTTTGATAGCTAATTTTTGGTGGGGCTGGCAGGCTCTTAACTTTGTGAGTATAAAGAATCTGGTGTATTTAATTATGTGAGAGGGGGATAAAAATGAGATGGTTCTTAAGTGTAGAGCAACGGTCCTCACTCAGCAGAGATGCTCAGTACATATAACTCAAGCTAACAATAGTGTAGGAGCACAAATATTTCTGAATCATCTGCTGGACACCTCAGCTGAGTTTAGTGTACTGGCAGTCTCTTCATCTAGCTCCATACTTGAACCAGTACTCTGCACCCTCTCCATAATATTTTAAATAGTGTCTGGTTAAACATGCCAATGGGATACTGATGAGTCAAATAGTGTGTAGCAAATGAATCTTTCCTTTGGTAGCATGTTTGTGCCATAAACCATGTATGTTTAGAACTAGACTTAGAAAACCATCTCTATTATTATACCTCCAGGGTCCAAGCCATTGCAATAGGACAAGCGTTGGTTGATGGACGCTGGCTAGAATGTGTCAGTCATCATGATCAGCTCTTCAGAGATGAGTATGCTCTCTACAGACCGTTACAGGTAAAAGGAGTAGGAAAGCTATGGTTCTTGCTGGGTTTGGCTGCTGACTAGAATCTTTTTTAATCCTGTTCTCAGCAGCTGTTGTATGTTTTCTAAATCAGCTCTCCTGTACAGAGAATTGGGGTCCAGGCCTTTTTCCTTAGTGGTTTAAAGCCTGAGGAAGCTGCATTTGCCCGGAAAGCTTTGGGGCTGTCCTGTGTGAAGGATGAGTTTGTTACATGTAGTGCTGCCTAAAGTGGAGGAAAGAGTCTCTGATCTAGGCCAGTGCCTCTCATGGTGGACATCTTCCATGGAGGCCTTGGAATGGCACAGTCTGTGCTTGTGGCAGCTGTGATATCATGTACAGAATCTAGAATCTGTGTGCAATTCCTGATGACTGAGACACAATGGTGGTCTTCCACTTCTGTTTCAAAATTCCTTTTTTAAAAACTTCCAAAGAATAGATATTTTAGATATACAGTATTGGATCTTGTATTGGTAACCTTCTTCTGATCTCCAATGATGGCAGTAATAAAGAATTCAGTACCTTAGCCACATGACGTAAGATTGGGAGGGGGTCTTAGTCATGCCTCCCAAATAGGACTGGCTAGCTGAGGGGGGGAGGCAGGGAACCAGTGACCAGAGATGCTTTTTTACCGTATTTCACTGCAGTCAAACTTGCTGAGGGGTAAGAGCAGTCACTGGCCTGAATGACTGGATTATTTTTTTAACTTGAACAAGATATCTCTGTAGCCTCTCTGTTATCTGAAAGCATTCAGTTGAGAGTCTTCCATGTTCTGCAGGTTCTCACAAGAAAGAATGGCTCAGCTGTCCCGTGGACCTCAGTCAGAAAGCTTGCAGCCATTAACATATTGTTTTCCTTGTGCATTTCAGCTCTTGGCCACAGTCATGTGGTTTTTCATTGAGATTGCTCTGGGCTTCATCTGGCACCTCAGCTAGTCAACTACACTGTTGCAGTTTTCTAGGAAAAGCTTGCCCTTAACTAGCAAGTGCTTGTGGATCCCCATTTGTACTATTTGTAAGGGGCTTTGTTATTCAAGGTTTAAAGCCAATTCTTGTTCTCATCAGCTGAAAGCACTGTCTGATCTCATTTCTCTTGGACAAGCGTCAGGAGAAGCAGTGTTGTTGACTCAGTTGCTTTCTGCACTCACTGAAGCGAAAGGAATAATAGTGAGAACTTCCTCTTGAGGTGACTGGAGGAATCAGGATTGCTGATGGAAATTGCTTAAATGCTCTCCAGATTTTCTGGCACTCTAGCCAGGCTTTGTTGTGACACAGTAGCCCCAGCTAGAGCCTAACTTGTGAGTGAAACTTAGAGCTACTTCGGTCAGTCAGGATTGCTCCAGTAACTTAGAATTAGCCTCCACCAAAAGCTGCATCTACTGGTTTCTGGGCAAAGGATATGGTCATCGCCCACCTTGGCTGGGGTTAGGAAGCATTCAAAACTGCTTAGCTGGATGTGGTGACAGAAAATGTACAGTAGAATACACTTGTCCTTTAGTGCCACTTAGTCACAACTTGTGTGGAGGTGGGGAGGAGGCAGAGACGTAAGTACGTGGGAAGTGTAAAGAAATACTTGTTTCCTGTCCCAAAGAGTTCCTATTTCATGCCAAGGGGGGTGGCTCTATGACTAACCTGGCTCAGCCCACTGAGAGTACCCTCTGTTTTTTTAGCAGGCTGCTTTCTAAGGCTGCTTTATATTTCAGTAGAGCTGCACTTTAACACCTTTTCTTCCTTGTCTTCCAGAGCACGGAGTTCTCAGAAACCCCATCTCCAGACAGTGACTCGGTGAACTCTGTAGAGGGGCACTCTGAGCCATCCTGGTTCAAAGACATAAAGTTTGATGACAGTGACACAGAGCAGATTGCTGATGAAGGAGAAGATAACTTAGCCAGTGAGTTTCACCTGAGTCTTGTTCTCCCTCTGCCTTCTCCCCTGTTATCCCCAGTCCTTCAGGACATAGTAGTTTAACCATGTCTTGCTTTATATATGTGTGTGCGCGTGTTTGTGTGTGTGCGCACGGGGCTGTAAGGATCTAAGCAAACTATAACCTAGGTAGTCCTCCTGTTTCTTATGATGGATACAGTATTTTGTATTTAGTGGAACTAGTAAAGCTTCATGCTTCTAATGGAGGAGAAGCATGTAAATTGCTGCCTTCTGTTTCTCAGGCAGACTTCTGCTTGATTTGGGCCCTACAGTAATGCACTAAAGAATGACCAATATGTCACATGCACACATGAAGAAAAGATTAGAGCTATGAAAATACTGTATTCCTTTAGTATTGCACACTGGTCTTTATGTATTAAAGACAATTTTTCTCCTCTCCGGTACCCTCATGATACCCATTTGAACCCTTCTCCTCCCTGTATCTTCCCCCTTACCCAACACTAAAAGACTCCGCCAGCCCTAGCAAGCGCACTTCAGTCAGCAGCTTCCAGTCCACAATGGACAGTGATTCAGCCGCCTCCATCAGCCTGAACGTGGAGCTGGACAACGTGAACTTCCATATCAAGAAGCACTCCAAGTACCCACATGTGCCCCCTCACCCTGCCGACCAAAAAGGTATGAGGTAGTCACCAGCTGGAGTTGCACATGATGGAGAGCTGGGCCTTAACAATACTGACCTATTCAGACACTACTTTTGTAGCTGTCTTACAGAGGGGGAAATACGATATTTAGCTGGCACTCGCTTGCAGTTTTGTTATGCTCACCTCTGAGGAGGCTCAGTAGACCTATTGAAACACCTTCTCTGCAGAGTGTGTAACTTCCCCTGTGACTTTCTCTTTGCAGTTGAAGCAAAGTCTCCTGCCCATACATAATAGGGCAGATCCACATATACAGTTTCTGGCTAACTGGGGTGGAAAAATAATTCATGCATAAACCAGTTTGATATGTGTCTCTATAGTTTGACATTAAACTGAAAAAGCAAGCAAGAAAAAAACCCCAAACAACAAATGAACAAAATAACTTGGAAGAGCTCTGTGCTGACTTCTAATTGTACCTTAATAAGCTTACATTCGACAGAAGAATCTTACTGATGAGCAGTAAGGCCTAACTTAATCCATATATGTAACATTTGTTCAAAAGAGAACATCTACTTAAGCGAAGTAGTTAGAAATCAAATACTCAGTGTCGAAGACTTCTTTTGAAAGTTTTCTTTTCTCCTAAGTAAGTACTAAATTTAAAGACTCTAAATACAAGCAAAATCCTTACGGAAAAAATAATGTGCCTGCCTGTTGACAACTGCATTCTCTAAACTGGACAAGGGCTGACTGAAACAAGGGCTTGCCACTGGCTTGGGTCTAGTATATTCTAGTTGCTTTACATGCTGGGTAGCAATTGATGTCTTTGCTCTGCTTCCTTACCTAAGGTTACATCACATTTGTAGACTTCTGTCTTTGGCTGCTTCTAAGGAGTTTCTTATTCTTGTTTCACCCCACCCCTTCAGTATTTCCAACTTTAAAAGATGGTCCAGTGTTAAATAATTTGAACTCCTAATGAATTCATCCTCCCATGGATTGTGGATTGGAATGCAAGACTTACCTTATGCTTGCATACAGATTGCATTTTCTGAAACTGTGAAATGGTCACTGAAGAGAGTGAGGGAAGAGAACTGGTCACAGCTGACTTTCAAAAGTATTTTAGACTCGGGAGAGACAGTGATGCAAATTAGAGGGTGCATTTATCAGTGCCTATTGTAGTCACATTTTGTTATTTGCTAAAAATATGTCTAGAAGAAGGGAAATGTAACTGCTTATTTTTTCCCCCAAAGAGAGGAGCAGAACAGGTTTGAAAGTTGAGTTGATGTCAGATGACTCAACAGTAGGGATGGGTCGTCAGCACTACTGACACCAGCTTGTTACTGGTTCCTTTCAACTTGTTTCCAGCTCCTGCCCTAATCAAATGAAAAGCTAATGCATCTGCAGAGAAGGAAAGGTGTGAAGAGGGAGAATATATCAATGAATGCTTTTTAGGAAGGAGGGGTGCTGGATTAAGTGAGTGTGAAACAGGCCCAGGTGTGCTGCAGTATCCTATGAATTTACAGCTGTAGCAGGTTTATCTTTATCAGTGTGTGTTGGCAGTAAAGCAGGCAGTAGTCAGTTTGGCTCTAGCCAGTGTTAAAGGACTTGTAGAGTAATAGTCCTGGTTTCAGACCTATCTTAGTCTTTATCTCCTTATACAAAAAGCAGTACATGATGAAGGGGAAATGTAAGAAAGCCTACCTCTCTCGGAAACTGTTGACCAAATCAAGGCTTCTCATAGCCAGAACTGAAGCTCTTGTGAGAAAGATTTTGATGATGGAGAGCTTAGAGAAGATCAGCAGAAAAGGCAAGTGGTGAGGGGACTGAAAGGAGACTTGTGTCTTTTAATTATATATGTTGGCAGCACTCTGCTATCCTTGGTGAATCTCTGCTGACTGGTGTTTGTTATCTGTCCTGAAATGTGTGGTCTCATAACCAGGTTATTCTGTAGGACTGTAATTTGTAGTAGAAAACTGGGAACAATTCCTTTTAAGAGAATGGGTTTCCCTTGAGGGGAAAGTATCAGTAATATGCCCAGAACTGGGATAGGGTGGAGGTGTGAGTCATTAAAAGGCACTGTGGAGATGTAGGCATTATCCTGCAGGATTTTTTTGAAAAAAAATTTGTATCCTCTGCAAATATGGAGGACTTGCTGTGCATCTTTTTTTTGGATTCCTGGCATGAGAGTCTGTAGAGGAAAGACCTAACTAGGGACCAACAAGTTAAAATGAATGACAACAGCTTGAATAGCAAGAGACACTTCTTGGCGATGGGGAGACTGACATTTCGTAGGTACTTAGATATCTGTTTGCTATTTAAGGCCTTCAAAAACCAGGTGGGACAAAACCCAATACTGCATACTGCAGTGCCTAGAGTAGTGAAATGGATGACTTCTAAAACTTTCTTCTGGAAATATTAAAGTCAGAGTGCAAACACTTTTACCTTGTGTTTCTGACTTATCCTGGCTATATTCAACAAAAGATGCCATCGAGGATGTTAGAGTACCGCAATGGTTAGACAGCCAAGACTAGATAGTTAAGCTTCTATGTAAAATGGGACATGGTTATTTTAAGAACAGAGTACTGCAGTCAATCAGCGACATGGTGCGTTTGCTGCCATCAGGAGTCAGTAACTCCCTATGACTATTATGTACATGTGTATTTGGCTTGATTTCATTGGAATTATCTTTTGTCCTTAGACTGGATGACAGTGACTTAATTTTCTTTGAAATAATGAAGTGAAACTGAAGATCACACCCACTTTTTGAGGCTAGTAACTCAATTTCTTCACAACTGTATAAATTACAGTCCTTGGGGGAGGATTGACAGGACAAAACATCAGTGCTGGATGTGCAGGTCAACTTTGATTTAAGTGGCTAGTGGGTTTCTTCAAATGATTAAGGGATATGCAATTTCCACTAGTCACAGAGGTCAGCTGCTTTGAAGCAATGGAGTGTTCTATTGCTGTGTTCTAGAATGGAGTGGTTTGTATATAGTCTGAGTCCAATGGCAGGACTTCTTGTGATGTTGTAGGCTGACTAATGTCTGGTGTGTTTCAATGAAATTCTAGTGACTCCAAGTTAGCTGGCTTGTAGTATCTTACAAGTGAGTATAGTGACTCATTTATAGTGTCATCTTCCTAAAGATAATGGTACTTTATAGTGTGTATCAAAATGGGAAACAAAGTAAGATTGCTTTCTGAATTTAAATTGGGGGATGAGATTGACTTGTTTTAAATGTGGGTTTTAGTTGCTGTTTTTAAAGAGATATAGTTATCAATATGGGAAACTTTATTTTCTAAATGTCCTTGCAGCCAGATACCCTTGATCCTGGTAGCAGGTATTTCGGGTAGTTAATTTTTGATGCCTGCATCTAGTTAGGAGGGGGAAAGAGAAGAGGATCTGCGTAACCATGACACAGTTCCTTACCACCGTTGCTTGCAAGGAGCCCTTTTGGTGCACCTTCTTTTGAAAAGGTGCACTTCAGTTTTCAGTGGATATCTGTGGATGCATGCATCCTTTTTTGTGTATGTAGAGGAAAAGCTGTGGTTGCTAGCCAGTCTGTTTTGATGTTTAACCAGAGCAATCTTGTAAGGTGTATAAAATCTGTACCTGCTGGTTTCCACTGGAGACCTGTGAATTTGTGTGCATTGTGGTATTTGCTTCCAATGATGCCCTTGAATATCAGACCTAGGAATTTGTATGTTCTGGGGTGGGTTTTTTTGGTTCTTTCTTTTTGTTGTTTTGTTTTGGTTAAGCTGTTCAGGGGAGCTTGTAAGATAGTCTCTCGATAGCTAACTGCTTGCAGGCAAGGCTACAAAATATGCTACAGGAACCTCCTCTGTCCTCCAACATTCTGTGGGGCATGATGCCTGTAGGGATGATGAAAGGTAAGAAATGTGCGTGTTAGGAGATACCACTCTCACTGTCTCAAACTCACACCTGTGAGTGTGGTATCTGTGCAGTCTAGGAAGAGGTATGGTATCTTACCTTGCCAGGAGCTTCCTCTGGGGCAAATTGAAAGCAAAGTTATAGGAGGTGAAGCTGTATTGAAGAGAAGCGTTCCTGGTTTGGAGGTGCCATCTGTGTCTTTGTCCAGAGCAAAATTAAGCTTAGGTTTCAGCTGGGGTTAACTCCTGCCTTGGCCATGCCAGTCAGGGATATGTGTCAGACCTAATTTGAGTGTGTTCACAGTAAGAGCTGCTGCCCTGAGGCTGTTGCAAGGCGGAGAGAGATGGAGGTGCTAGTATACATGCTCATGTGTAGTTACAGCATGACATGACTTTCTCTAGGTAGTTTGTAGAGCTGTGGGTGAATGAATGCTGAGGGTGAGGCAGCTTTAATCAAGCAGTAGGTTGCTTATAATGCTAAACTCTTCATCTAAGCAAGAGATGAAAAGAATCTGCAAATAACCATCAAGCTGCAAGGAAGGCTTGCAACTTCTCTTTGGTACACTGATCATCTATTGAGTACCTGTTTGCAAACTGGGCAACTGCAGACAAGCTCAGATTTTTAAACTGGTGGCATGTAAGGGGTCTCTTGAGTGCTGCTGTTCAGAGACTTGTGATTGCTTGTGTCCTGTCAGCTTTCTGTTGCTTTCTGTTGGTGTCTGAAAGCTGTCTGGCTTTGCATTCTGTTTGTGGCAGTAGGTCTGGACCATTCTCAGGAAAGGTGATAAAGGGTTAGCTTTGGACTTCAGATCATCATGCTATATAAGCAATTGGGCTATTGTTCTTGTTTTCCCACTGTAGAACCCCTTTTTGTAGAAGCAAGGAACCAACTAAAGGCACAACAAGCTAATGGCCTCTGGAGAAAACAAGCTTTTTGTAGCCAGCCAGCCTGCATGAAAGATCAAGATCTAGCAAGCTAAACAAGTGTGGTAGATGGAGCTTCATCTTATTTCCCATATGTAAAGTGATATATAACTCTTGGTTTCCTTTGTTGCTGGGAGTCCACCTCTCTCAGCATGGATTCCTCAAAACACTTTAAACTGTTTTAGACTTTAGAATTCTAGCTCTTGAAACGCAGGCTGTCTTTTGTTTCCTTCACTGTGTAAGATAATTCTTATGGCTGGGGTCACTCTCTCCGTCTAAGGTACTTCATTGGAGTGTGAGAGCAAAATAGCTTTTGAAGCTGCATTTTTAGACCAGAGTGAGGAGGCCATTCCCTGTCTGGACACTCCCGTGGTGTCTACTCGCAACTTAGCACCTTTGTATTCAGATCTAGAAAAGTGTGGTGTGGGTCAATTGGAAAAGCAAACTCTTAACTCCTAGTTCAGTCTTTTCTCCTGTCTACTTTGTTTGTTTTGTTTCTTCACAGTAATAAGTACTATTTTCTTGTCATCTTAAACTTTTTGATAGAACAAGAATGAGAGGATATTCTTGTCTTGACTACTCATCAAGCTGTTGCTAAATTGGTGACTAAACACTTAGATGAGTAATGCTGCTTCTTCTGGTGTGGGCGTGTACATTGTAATTATATGGGTGCACCAATGTAACCTGTCATTTTATTTTTCTCCGCCTATCTCCCTCTTCTTTCTTATTTCAGAGTACTTGAATCCTGAAAACGGAGGGCAGCAGATGTTCTCTATAAGTGATGCTTTTATTAAAGGTAAGGAGAAACTTCAAATGTTGCTGTTGTGCAGTTTTAATATAATGATGAAAACTCCTCAATATTTCTTTAATAGAGCATTGACTCTTTAGAAACATTTACTTGACAGTAAATCTGAACTTATTTGTGGCAAAACTGATATATAAACTAAACTTTTTGGAATGTACTTTCAAGCTTAGATTTTTTTCACTTCTCGGATTTCTTCATTCAAAAGCACTCAAAGAAAAGCTTTTACTTTTTTTTAAAAATAAGTGTAACTGGCAAGTCTGTTCAACTTCCCCACCCACAAACTTATGTAACAGACATGGATTTTAACTTTCTGTGCAAGCAAATGAAGGTGTGATATGGTTAATTGCACTGCTTCTACAGAGTAGCTTAAAGCTTCATCTTTTAAATCTTTCTGAGTTTCTTGTTGTCACCACCACTACTACTACTGAAATGAAAGGCCATTAGACACAGTTATGAGTTTTAAAACCCATGTACCTTCCAGTATTGTGGTCAGGTGTACTTGTGGGCTTTTTTTTCTCCCAGTTAATGCTAATGATTTTGGTGAGCTTGTAAGAGGAGGAAATAAGGGGAGACCCCAATGTCTGTGCAGCCAGAAAAATAAAGTCTTTGATTAAATTGATGCTTAGTTTTTAACTGAGCTTTTGCAGGAGAAAGAAAAGGGAAGAAACCAATGTAACTTGTGTTATTCTTCTACACAGCTAATTTTGGGTATGGAGCATCTGGAAGAAGTTGTTTTTAAAGAGTCTTTTTTTTTCAATAGTCCTGCTCAGATTACTATTGTAAAAGGATTTTGTGGGTGTATCATGCACTCTGAGGAGTTTTAAGCTTGAACTCTGAAGGCTTACATACTTGCTGATGAAAATTGATATGCTACTAGCTTAAATGACTTACAGTCAACCATTATGAGAATGGGGAAGTTTGTAACTTCCCTCTGTAATATTATAATACCTGTGTGGGAAATAACCTAGTAACTCTTTCAAAGCACAGTAAACTGTGTTGAAATAACCTCTAATCTTGGTACTGCAAAACAGAGAACAGTTCTAAGGAGTTACTACACAATATAGTGATTGAAAGCAGCAGGCCCCGTCCAAGTGAGGACTGTCTTACACTGTCGAAACATGCTTTCTGTTTCCAAAACCAGAAATGGCTGTAGTTCATGCTGACAAGTAGGATTTAAAAAATTGTATTCAGTGGATACAGCCTTCATTGGCATCCTGTTTATCATAGCAGAGAGGTACCTGTGTGTATATGATGGTTAGGTGGATGGAGGTGAGTGAGAAGATGTGCTGAGATCTTTTGAAAAGATTGTGCCACTTTCTTGACAGAAGATCCTTGAGAATTCTGTAGTATTAAATACTGTGACATAGGCTATGAACCAGCCTGCTGACAGCTCCCTTTGCCCCAGAGCAACAAAGAGGTGGTGTGTGGGATCAGGGCTGCAAGTCACATAAAGGTTCAAAAGTCTGACATATGAATTGGTAGCATAGCATTTCTTTAAAATACATTTGGGAGATGTGCTAAACAAGGCCTTTAGGAAGATATTTTTGGTACTTGTGCTGCAGCCTGAATGAAGTAACTAGATCTTTTAATGCCACTTAGACACAGATGTCTTCAAAGCAGCAGCTTTTTGTGGATCAAATTGGTGCCTTTGACCAATGTTCTAAGTCTAAAAGGCCTTATGATTATGTATTATGAATAGACACGGTATTTGGAATTTGCTGCTTATTTATGGGCAAAACTGGGATACAAGATTTTTGTTTTTTCCTTGCCTTAACAAACTTGGTAACAATTCAATTCCATAAGAGAAAACAGTCTGTTCTCTACTGGCAGTACAAGAATTTTAGTAGCTCACTTTCCTTTGGACACTCACCACTGTTATAATACTGTTTGCTGCATCATGTTACCATGACATCTAGCTCAAATTCAGTATTTCAAGAGGCTTAGACTTACGTCTTAGTAAACTGTTTCATCTTCAAAGTAGCCTTTCAGAAAGACAGGCATTCAACTGTGACCTTGTATTAACAAGGTTTGTTTGTCTCTTGCAGAGTCATTATTCAACAGGAGGGTGGAGGAGAAGTCCAAAGAACTCTTTTTCACACCCCTAGGCTGGCACCACAGCAATCTGGATCTGCTGAGAGAAGAGAATGGGGAGAAACAGGCCATGGAAAGGCTGCTGTAAGAAATATGTAGAAAAAGGAATTTGCATACCTTGAGTAACAATTCTTGAAGCCCTTGTATTCCACCAACTTTCAGTGGGACTTGATCTACAGTGGACAATACAAGGAACTAATTTGCATTAAGGAAACAGCATTTTTACAGTATATTTTGATTGCTTTTTTCCCTGTGATTTTTATAGATTGAAGTACAAGACCAGTGTTGACTGTAGAATGTTCTAGGCAGCTGTTCCTTCAGAGGACTTCCTGTGCTGTAATGTCAAGAAATTTATTTGACATGTGACTTCAACTAATCACTGCTCTGTATTTTTCTCAAGAGACATCTATTTGTTTTGCCTTTTTCACAGGTCTGCTAATCACAACCACATGATGGCACTGCTTCAGCAGCTTCTATACAATGAGTCCCTGTCACTGTCCTGGAGGGATATCATTGTACCTGTGGTCTGCCAGGTAGTTCAAACTGTACGGCCTGATGTCAAGAACAGAGATGATGACATGGATATCCGCCAGTTTGTCCACATCAAAAAAGTAAGTTTCAAACAGTGGATCTAGGGAAACAAAAGGATGCAGCTGTTGGCAGCATCCTTTGTTTGAAGAGTCCCCTTCCCACTGCCCTCAGCATGTTCATTGGTGTAATTGGCCAACATGGCCTTTGGGTAAGGTGGGGTTCTAGGAAAAGTTACACAGAAGGAACTTTGCAACCTGTGAAAGGTGCTTTAATGCCCTGGAGCTGACCTCTTCTTTCAGGCTGTAGGCTGCAGAAGGTAGCAAAAAGCAATACCTCTGTAATGACTTGCTTCCTTTTTTGGTTTCAGCTTGTTTTGTGCTTGGATTGGAGATGTACTGAATGCTGGATAAGTAGCTTGCAGGACTCTGTGTAGCAATCTATTGCCCTATAACTATCCATTATGGAGGACTGAACTCCTCCCATGCCAAGTACAATGACTTTCTTCAAGAGGAAAGCATAATTGTTATGGGATGGTACATCCAGTTCTGCCAGATGGCCCAGTGTTGACATTGTTGAACTGTAAGGCTGGAGTTGTGGCATGCAGAGCTTCTTCTGAGAGGCTGATGTGAAACTAACATCCAAGGAGCTAGTGTGACTGAGGATCAAAAGCTTGGGCCTATTTTTCTTTGGCAAAATTCACCTCAGGAGGCCTGTTTTGTTTGGAAGCCATGTAAGATATGAGGAGAGCCTTATGGTTCTGGTGGTAGCTCCGTGGCATCTCTTCAGGCAGCATCAGTTGTTGCTGCCTCTCCTGAAACTCCAGTTCAAAGAGCAGATGTTCAGAGGTGAAAACTCTTCGTAGCTGTCTGCTGTTTTCACGTGCTGATAACAGAAATGTCCTCTGAAACAAGTTATTCAGAAACGTGTTTCATGTTGTTTTACTCCTGTGATTGGTTGTGACTGTAGGCACACCAGTGAAGTGTTTGTGTTCAAATAGTAGGTGGAGGTTTGTTTGGTTTTATCTTTTTTTTCTTTTTTTTTTTTCCCCCTTCTGTTTTCGTTCCTTACAACTTGTTTGTTGTTAGTGGAAGTGTCATGTGCAAAGGTATATGCTCCCCATGACCCATAGAAGTTAGGTTTCCTTATCTTCCAGAGTGTACTTGGTTTAACAAATATGCATCTGTTGGGAGGGGTGTAGAGATCCTGGAACTTATTATTTGTTTTCATGTTGTCCTTAAGTTTGCCAGACTTTAAAGGGAAAGAGTTGTGTGTTCAGCATGACTGTATGTGATCTTTCATTTGATAATTGAGGGCATAGCTGAAGCTTGCACATCAGCTACAACAGGTATTCCATATATTAGGTTTACTGCATTAGAAGTTATGGGAGTGTATGACACTTCTAAAAATGTTCTTTGCTTTATTAGATCCCTGGTGGAAAGAAATTTGACTCCATGGTGGTGAATGGATTTGTTTGCACTAAGAATGTTGCACATAAAAAGGTAATGCAGGCTTGATTAATCAAGTGCTGGCTGTAGTGTACGCTGAGGAAACAAGTGTGCTGTGACTTCCATTTTGTGTTGTGAAGCTTCTCTCACTGTTCAGGAAGTTTGTGAGCTTTTCCTAGTTTGAGAACCTAAACAAGAATGTCTTTTTAAAGCACTTCTTTTCCAAGCTGTTTTCTTTTAGCCCAGAGATTCTAGGGGTGGAAGCTTTCCTCATGCATGTATCAAACATCCTTTCTACCCCTACCACCCCAGAAGGCATCTAATAATTACCCCAAGTTTTAGTCAGAAAAAGGCATTTGTGGTTCTGACTTACCATAATACAGTAAAGTGAGCTTTTAAATAAGGCAGGAGGTCAAGATAGAAGTGATCTGAATGGAGGCTGCAAAGTGTATCAAGACTTCGGGGTGACTGTGGAAACCTCTAGCATTGCACTCTTACTAGACAGTAGCTGTGAAATTCTAACAGGTGTAACATCTTCATGAGAAGGAAGAATGTGTAGTTGGGTCTGCAGGGGAGCATAGCTGAAACACTACTGTGGGGGAATCAATCATGGGAAGTCTTTTTTTTTTTCTTGTGTATGTTTTCCCTTCCAGGTGTTTGTATTTTTGTTTTGACTGTTGTGTCTTTCTTAGATGAACTCTTGCTTAAAAAATCCCAAAATTCTTCTGTTGAAGTGCTCAATTGAGTACCTCTATAGAGAAGAAACAAAGTTTACCTGCATAGACCCTATAGTACTTCAGGTGAGAGCATGCTTTTGTTCTTGGTTTAAATTGCTTCAGGTCTAGTGAATCAAACAAAATTATGATCAGTGCACATCTCTTTTTTTTTTTTTTTTTTTTTCGGGGGGTAAGGGGGGGTTGGGGGGGGGGGGTTGCATAAGAAAGAAAAATTTCCTCTTCTACAGCTAGCTAAGACCACTGCTGCACTAAATACAGTACAAACTTGTAGTCTTGTGCTGAGGGTTTTTGTTATCAAGTTACATGTACTGAGAGCGATCTTATGATCCTCATAATTAAATGCAGCATTTTAGAAAATAAGTTTTGTTTTTAATGATACACTGTATAAAGAACATATGGTTCAGAAGGTCAGAACTAGATATGGTTTAGGTGCATGAAGAAATAGTAGAAAAGTTAGTGTAGGTGAGGGTTAGCTTACACCCATGTTATTTCTTGTCAGGCTTGAAAAAATGGGACAACCTAATGAAGTGACGAACTACAAAATGTCACTTTGGAACAGGTGCCCTGCCCCTGTGAGCAGGGAGGTGCCTTAAGTATGAAAACACTGAAATGGATAGACTTTTTATTCAACACACTGCATTCCTGTCTGAGAATCAGTCTTCATATGTTTGCCAGGATACTTCTAACAAGGGTATTTGGTGCCCTACTGAGCTTGGGCCATAATGTTTGTTTCTGTATTTGACTATTTACTTAGCATGCATTTAAGACCATTTATGTTTGGTAATTAATAAACAGGATTAAAGGTATGAAAGCTTTAGCAATAAAACTTGTCTCTGCCTAGTGAGTTGGTTTTCTAGTAAAAGCTTAAACTGAGACCTGTAATTTGTTTGAATGGGGTAGAAGTATCTACTATACTTTCTAAATATTGGTCTCTGATTATTTCACTGTCTGCTTCAGAAAATGATCATAAGTATTTGTGTATCTGCATTAAAGTCCTATTGGACAGAAAATACTACAGAAAGACGAGTTCAATTGAAAAGGCTGCCATTTAGCAAAAGCTTTATCTTCACTACACTAACATGAATGTTAGTTCATTCTCTCTGAGGAGCTGGCAAACTGCTTTTGTGGTATCTTTCTCTTGCACAGAACTTTTCAAACCTGACTGGTGTGAGCTGCAATAATGCAATTGAGAATACCTGGCTTGGGAAGCTGTATCCTCCCTCTAGCAGTGTAGGTCTTTAGTTCTGATAGCATTGCAGCCCCGCTTTGTCTTTCTGTGCATGGTAATAAAAGTGTGGGGAGGATAGTGAGATGGAGCCAATTAGAAGAGCAATTTTGCAGTGCACAGCATTTGGAATCCCACTCCAGAAGAACTGTCCCCAAGTACAGATTTAGGGACTGAGGCTCTGTGTACAGACTTGTAGAGGCATAGAGCACTGGTATACTCTTCATGAATGGAAGTGTCTCAGAGTGTCAGCACTCGGCATCAGCGTGTATCTGAAGAAGGTGGAGAACATAATATTGCAAACAGCTTTGGTTTAGAATTCTCTAGTTCTAGCACCTTTCAAACATAAAGCCTTTTTCCATGTAAAGTTATAAGGTGCCTGTATAAATGTTTGGATTCTGCTGCAGGTATCTTACTTCAGACTGTCATTGGACTATATCCTCATGTGCAATTAGTGCATATAACAAATTACTGATAAAATGGGTGTTGTGCTGTGGGGGTGGGGAAATGTGCATGATGGCGCTTTCTGGATGGGTGGTTTCCCTCTTTTATAGGAAAGGTCAGTACATAAATGGGAGAGAAAGTAGTATTAAGTATTTAAGTGTTTGGGTTTTTTTTTTTAGATGGGTTTGCAGTAGTTAACTGCTATACTTTGTTCCTGTGTGCAGGAAAGGGAGTTCCTGAAGAACTACGTACAGCGGATAGTTGATGTCAGGCCTAATTTGGTCCTTGTTGAGAAGACCGTGTCCCGAATTGCCCAGGACATGCTCTTAGAGCATGGTATCACTCTGGTCATCAATGTCAAGCCGGTGAGCATTTCCTGTCAGAGTCAGACTGGGCCTTGTGGTGGATCTCTGTAACTTCTTGTAGCAAGCTCCCTGGAGAAAGCAGAGAGTTGTCTTATTTTCTCCTCTAACCAAACTTGGGCTCTTTTTTTAATAGTACTTCTTTTCCAAGAAGGCAAGACAGGCAAACCTAGAGTAACTTTACCTCAGCTCTTCACAGCTACTCTGCTGTGTTCTTGCTTAGTAGGTCCTTGTCCCCTGGTTTGGTTCTAGTTAACTCTTGACTCCTATTTATAGCAGATCCTGTGTGGGTCCTCAGTGATCCCTAGAGAGCCTCTCTGTCCCTGTGAGGCAGGGTACAGACAGCCAAACAGAGAGTGGCTTTGCGAGTTGGCTGAGCTCCTGATAGCCAGCACTCTGCTGATTGCGCTGTACCTCCTGGAACTTTTTTCACTTGAACAGATCCAGATATCCCAGGGAAGGGCAAAATCTTACCTCTCACTGGAAATATTTACCCAACTGCTTTTTTAAGTTTCTTGTATGTTGTGGGTGACTGGGTTTAACCAGAGTTTGCATCTCAGTGAGAGGTTTCCTGGATCACACTGGCATTTTTTGTTGTTGTTGTTGTTTTGGGGTTTTCTTAAGAGCAAACTAAGGATGCTATTTTCCTCTTTAAACTGTAGATTCTTACTGTTTTTTTCCATTTTTACAGCAAGTCTTAGACCGGGTGAGTCGAATGACCCAGGGAGACTTAGTGATGTCAATGGATCAGCTCTTGACCAAACCGCGTTTGGGAACCTGTCATAAATTTTATATGCAAGTTTTTCAGTTGCCTAATGGTGAGTAAAGCTTGATGTGTCTTAGCTTGTGTGTGTGAAAGGATAAATGCTTTACTCCTCTTATCTAGATCTGAACTGTTGGGTGTCTTGTGTGATCAAGTATTATTCTTCCTACTAATTTTTCTTTACTTCTGTTACATCTTAGAACTACAGCGAACTGACTGCAGACACAAAGGCATGATCTTACTAAGATGAGACACACTAGATTTTAATTAGGCTGGCTTCTTCCTTCCAAACTGTTTTTTCTCTTCCCACCACCTTGGACTTTGTCTAGTCCAAATTTCTGTTCAAAACAGGAGGGATTAATTTCAATGCAGGATCAGATTTCTCAGGGCTTCATCAGCCAACTGTTGAAAATATTGCAGAATGGAGATTTTGTAGCCTGTCTGGGCACCTGTTCTGTTGCTTAACCATCCTCAGCATAAAGAATTTTTCTACATAGAAACAGAGAATCATAGAACAGCCCTGGTTGGAAGGGACCTTGAAAGATCATCTCGTCCAACCCTAACATATCCAATCAAAACTTGCCTTGTTGCAATTTGTGCACACTGCCCATTTTCCAGTCATTGTGCAGTGCACCTTTGAGAAATCCGGTTCCTTTTTCTCTGTAACCCCCTTTAGGCATGGGAAGTCTTCACAGGAAGAAGGAAAAAATGCTGCTTGACAGGTTACCAGTGGTACTGGCACACATAGATGCTGTTGATGCAAATCTTTGTGGAGATGCAGTCTTTGCATCTCTTCCCCTTCCACTTCCCCATGCCCTCTTCCAGCCTTTAAATTGCACTCAAAATCTTGTACACTTTTGACTTGTAAGGATGAGCAAATGTGCCTGGGAGGATAGTGGTTCTTTTGCTTCACTGCTGCAGAGTCTACATGGTCTTGGAATACACTGTTTAGGCCAGTGTGTTCCATGTGGCCTTCACTTGGACTTTATGATGACTTGTTTTACAAAACAGGAGAAGTTTTATAGCAAATGCTTGTTTTGCTTGCAAAAATAAGTTATTTCAGTACAGTGATGTGAATTTCTGCAGCTGGATTGTGCTACCGATGTTACTTGCTCTTAGTCGCTGTTACAGTCTCTTCAGTGTGTGAGATACCTAAAAGCAGATTAATTGTAGTTGTCATCCTAACTCCTATGGTTTTCTTTTTCTTATAGATCAGACAAAAACCCTGATGTTCTTTGAAGGGTGTCCCCAGCACCTGGGTTGCACCATCAAGTTGTGTGGTGCTGCAGAGTATGAGCTGGCTCGTGTGAAGGAGATCCTGATCTTCATGGTCTGCGTGGCTTATCATTCCCAGCTGGAAATATCTTTCCTTATGGATGAGTTTGCCATGCCCCCTACTCTGACCAAAAACACCTCCTTTCACTCCCTTATTGAGGAGCCAGGAGATGAAAATGAACAACAGAACCTCTTCAATGGTGAGGATTTCAGCACAGCAGTCAGAGACATTGAACTATCCTCTGAAAAGCTGCCTGTAATCTCTGAGTCGGTGTCCTCTGATGAGGTCAGCTTGCTTGAACAAAGAGGTTTATTTGAGAGAGGTGACCAAGAGAACAGTCAGCTGGAAATGGCATCCTCAAAACATCAAGAGCACCACAAAGTGGAGTCACCGTTTCCAGTATTCAACTCTGTACCTCCTGGAATACCCGAAACATCCCTGCTGCCCCTCCATGGTATGGACCAGCACTTGATCACTCTGGATAGCCAAACATTAGAGCCTCTTCAACAGGTGGATGATCTACAAGACTCCAAGAGTCAGATGAGAGTCTTTAGAGACCCTCTCCAGGATGATACTGGTTTATATGTCACAGAAGAGGTAACTTCTTCTGAGGATCGTCTCAAGACTTACTCTGCAGCATTTAAGCAGGAGTTGAAAGATGTCATTCTCTGTATTTCTCCTGTAATGACGTTCCGTGAACCATTTCTTTTAACTGAAAAAGGCATGAGGTGCCCTGCCCGGGAATACTTCCCTGAGCAAGTTTACTGGTCTCCTCTCCTCAATAAGGAATACAAGGAGTTGGAGAGCAGAAGGAAGAGACAATTATTGCGGGATCTCTCTGGACTACAAGGGATGAATGGGAGTATCCAAGCCAAGGCTATCCAAATCTTACCTTCTCACGAGTTGGTTAATACTAGAATAGCAGAACACCTAGGTGATAGCCAGAGCTTAGCTAGAATGCTGGCTGACTATAGAGCCAGAGGAGGGAGGATACTACAAAAAAGCACTGATCCCTTTGCCCAAAGTAAGGATGTGTGTAGTGTCCCTACTGGAAAAACTGGGTGCAGAATTGAAGAGGATGAGAAGGGACTGGCTCAGAGTGAATCCTCGTGGTCTCATAAGGTAAGATTCAAAGCTATGTTACTGAAAACCCAGGTTACATCAGCTACAGAAGGTGTAGTGTCTCATATTAAATGTTAAATCAAAGTTGTTGTGGTTTGGGGTTTTTTTGTTTGTCTTGTTTTGTTTTTTTTGGGGTGTGTGTGGTTTTTTATTTTGGTTGGGGTTTGGTTTTTGTGGTTTTTTGGGTTTGTTGTGGGTTTGTTTTTTTTTTTTTTTCTTTTTGACTGGGTCAAAACTGCATTTTAGATTGCAGTGCTCTGGGCACTTAAACAAGTCAGTATAATAAGGCACTATGTGGATATAAGAAAGCAGAACACAAGACTGACTGCAAAATTTTCCTGAGAAGGGAAGAGGTTGTGAGACTACTTTCCGAGAAATGCACAAAATCGGCTAAAGATCAGTATATTTACGTTGCCTGTTCAGCTCAGGTGTACATGACTGATTTCTGAAAATGAATACATGAAGGGGGAGTAAGCTTAGAGAAGTTCCTGAAGCTGAGCTTTCTTGCTGCTTGTATTGGTGATTTCTAAAAGCGTAGTATTTTCATCTTCAGAGGGTGTAATGTCATGGAGACAGCAGTAGGCTGTAATTACATTAAAGTATTTGTTTGTAAAATTTGGGTGATCTGAAGAAATGTGAGAATCTCATAATTGAGAGGGGGAATCTTCTTTGAAATTTCCAAACAAGGCAGTATGTGCTTGTAATCAAAATACTTAGTTTTGGGCAACTGCCATGAAAGCAACTAACTTGTATCTGAGGAGAAGGATCTTGGAACTTTCTTGAACTGGAAGCTGTTCAGGAAAAAAGTCTGTGAATGAGAGCAGCAGAACTGATCTCTTGAAATAGTCAAATGTTTTGGTCCCTGAGCCAATCAGCCCCCAAGTTCATGAGCAGAAGTCACTTTTCAATTGGTACTTAAATGTAAATTTGTGTAGCTTCGCAGGCCATAATCTTACGAACTGTAAGAGTAGCCTTTGCTCTGGATCAGACTGGTTGATGCTGTTTTAAATTTATTCAGTGATCAATGAAAAGTGGTTGGGAATTTCATAGTTCTGTAGAGTGTGGAAGGGGAAACAGCTTCATTCCAGCAGCAGTGTGGTAAATATCTTCACAGAGGACAAAGTTGGAAGTATTTCTATAGCCTGAATCAGTAACTGAGGTGTATATATATTGGCAGAGTTTTGCCTCCAAGGTGTCCTGAACTGTACAGTGCTTTGGAGACTCTGGATGTTCGTCTTGGGGCTTTTGTTCTTTTATGTTTCTCTTAGCTTCCTTTCCACAGAAACACAGGTGTGTGCATTGGTTTCATTATGCATATTTCTTATGCTGTTCTAAAACTGGCAGTTAGCAATTATACATGGTACAAGTCTACCTGAAGCTCAGAGATAATATCAGGTTAATCTGTACAAAAGGAGTGAGCAGACATTTGTCTGTAAATAAAACTACTAGAGCAGAATTTCGTCATCAAGAGTTGTGTGTGGATGGAGGTGTCTGTAACCAGTAAATGAGTTGTTTTCTCTCTACCAGGTGGATTGCCTGAGTCCAGTAAACCATCAGAGGCTCTGTGTTCTCTTCAGTAGCTCTTCTGCTCAGTCCAGCAATGCTCCAAGTGCCTGTGTTAGCCCCTGGTATGAAAACTACTCCTCTACACCTTGTATAGTTGCTATCTTTTTTCCTAAGTCAAGGTCAGTGCTCACCTCATAGCGGTATTTATTTGAGGACTCCTTGGTAGATTGTGGCTGTCCTGTAACAGGAACTGTTGCCAAAAGAATTTTGTCTTGCCTGGTCAGGTGGATCCAGAGCAGTATCACATAGCCTTTGTAATCCCCAAGGTGTGAATGAGAAAGTCCAGCCTAAAACTGAATACTTTAGTTGGTCTTTTCACTGCAGGGTGTGCAGTATGTGTGGGGAGGACACCGCATGCAGTCTTGTGGGGAAGAGTTAGTGTATATAAACGCAGAAGAATGTCCAAGCCCAAAAATAAGCCTTGAGAGAATCTCAGAATACTTCCAGATTATATTATCTGAGAGTGGCATTTGAATATATTGCTATCTTTCTGTAATTATAGTCAGTAGTATTAAGAGCTTTAACTATATTTCCAGCTTAGGGGGCTGTAATTTGTTAATTGTATGCAATTTATGACACGCTTCTAGCTCTACTAAACAGGACAGGTCTTGGTGTTTCATCATCTAGCTCAGGTGAAAATATAGAGATGGGTCTCTTACAGGGAACGGTCTAGAGTTCCTGTAAAAGCTTAGGAATGAACCAAAGAAGGTGGTGATAAGCTCACTAAACAGCAACAATAAAAGGATGTAAATTACTGATATTAGAGATGTCTGAATTGTGACACTTAAACTGATACTTACACATTTTAAGTGGCTTGGTCACCTCAGGTGCTGAGAAAACAAAAGTTGCTATTAAATCTTCTAGAAGGATAAGGTTTTCTTAAGGCTTTTTCCATCTTCTGGATGTACCTTTTTTGTAACTGTTTAAATGTTAGTGTTTGAGGCTTCAATCTGTCTAGACTTCTGTGCCTAGATATTCTTGAACATGATCTTCAATAGTGCAGTTGAATTGTATTCAACTTTTAAAAGTCAAGTTTAAAGTTGTTCTAGTAGGACTCTGATCTCATTATTAGCAAACTTGACAGCAGGGATCTAGGAAGGGTAGTCGAGAAAAAAAAAAGCTTTTAAAGGTATACAGGGCTGAAGAACAAGCCAGCAGTGGGTGCTGATCTGTGCACCTAAAGGTCATTGCACAGCTAACAGTGGCAGTATCTACACTCTAAAGCTTTTATTTCTTTGCTTTAGGATTGTGACTATGGAATTCTATGGGAAAAATGACCTGACTCTAGGGATTTTTCTGGAGCGCTACTGTTTCAGGTGAGGAGGAACTTATTTCTAAATCTCATTCTAAACAAAACAAAAGCTGTTGATAGCTCTGTGAAGTTGACCTGCTGCCTTCTTCATAGACTCTACTTCCTGTGCACTTAGGAAAATAGCATGCAAGTCTGCAGAGCCAGTTGTGTCCTAGTAAAGCTTACCACTTAAATCTGTTGTTCCCTTTGCTTTATTATCATGCTGTAGTGAAACAGGAACTGGATTTAAGAATCCACTTACTCATGCTCACTTCTTACAAGCAAATACATCCACTGCTTTCCCATGTCAGCACTATCCCTCTTATTTCCTTTAATGAGGAAGTGGAACAGATTAGGAAACAAGACTTACAAGTTCATAAAGACAAATGTGTTCACTTCGCACTTTCTCAGAGCGATTAGGGCTGTAAGGCCCTAGTTAAGAGTCTGAGCATGTATTCCAAATGGCTGTTTTTCAAGACGAGCAACTGTACTGATTACAATTTTCTGAGGTTCCTATTTGAACTTTCATACGAATTCTGGAAAAAAACCCCTACTCCTTCAGCGTTATCTGAACATCTCAGAGTAAGACTTTGTCATATCTGCAAGGTGGCTAATATAAATGGTCCAGAACACTTTTAACCCTGGCAAAGTACTGTGTAATTTATTTCATCTGACAGGTGCAAGTTGTTATTTCAGTAATAACCAGAACTGCCAGAATCCCATATAGAGTCTCAGCAGGCTGTGAAGCTGGATAGAGTAGCCTGTGGCTCTGCAAAAGACAATATTACTCTGTTTTCTCCATTGGCCACTTGTAGGAGCAAAATGTTCTTTATGTTCAGCCCTCTCTGGAGGAACAAGTATTTCTCCTTGTGCTGATCAATGAGGAGGAGGAGGTTAGCTGCCCACTTTTAAGTTCTTGTTTCTCTCTGCTGAGTGTAGTGTGTGCTAAAGTGAATGCTTCTCAATCTCCATAGTTTCAGTAATTAAATTTTTTTTTTTTTCAATATGAGCAAGGAGGATCTGGGCTTTTATAGGCTCTTCCTGTTTTTGAAGAATTCCCTCTTTCACTTTGGTACCTAAACAATTCAGCTTTTATTTTTCTGTTGTCAGTCTTTCCTCCCTGACTTAAAAGAAACCCATCCAAGGAAAGGTCATGCTTTTTTTCTGTTCAAAGAGGTTATATGGCACTGTTTTGCTCACCTCTTCCTTCAGGAGCTGAAACATGACCGTTTTGAAAGCTCTTTGGCACATCTTTGTCCTCAGTAGCCTTTGCTCTGGTAAGCTGCCCAAGTGGTCTTCTAATTTGGTGCGAAGCACTTCCAGGTGCTTGATCAATGTTTTGTGGACTATATAGAATGTAGTCCAACAAGAATATGTTGGTAGAAAGTAATTCATTGTAAAAAGATTGTGATAGCAACCAGTATCCAGTCGCTGCTTTTGGGACCTATACAGCCATTGCTGGCAAGGGAACTTCCCTACATGCTATTTCTAAATGAGTACAATTCAATCTGCAGAAACAGCCTTTACTAAAGGCTTAGGAAACTTGTACAGTAAAGATAAGTACTACTATGATACTAAAAGTCATATTAGATACGTTGAACCAGTTCTTCAGCAGTTCCTAGCATATGATCATTCATAAGTGTTTCCATTTCTCTCTGTAAGGCCTTCCTACCAATGCCCCAGCATGTTCTGTGAAACACCAATGGTGCACCACATTCGTCGCTTCGTTCATGGGCAAGGCTGTGTGCAAATTGTGTTAAAGGAGCTGGACTCCCCGGTCCCTGGGTACCAGCACACCATTCTTACTTACTCTTGGTGTAGACTGTGCAAACAGGTAAGGCTGTGGACTTGAGAATCATTGCTATTACAATTTAGTATTCCTGTTGTGACTGCATCCCTAGAGTTATGGCTAACCTAGCACAAAACCTGTTACTGATACAGATGTTCTTGTGTATCTACAAATTCATTTCGTAGAACTGGGGCTGTTGAAGGTGAAACATCTTGTGTGAGGTAGTTCTGTTGGAAAGTGTCAAACCTGGCTCTGAGAGGATAGGTTTAAGTGGAGTTGATATATTGCAGGAAACTGATTTTTGACACATGGGAAAAAATTGAGTTGCCCTCTTAAAGGTGAAGAGTATAGTCCCTTCCCTGCACTGAATTAGTATGAGCATTAAAAGAATGTATGTATGGGGAAGGGCAGATGCTGAAACCTACTGGCTCAGTAATTGGCTAAAACCGCTTGGTATTCTTTCATCTGCTATGGACTGGATAGTCTGCATTGTATCAATGTGATGTCTAGACTTCCTTTAGTAGTCATTAGAAAGTAAGTAAAATCTTCATTAGAAGAATGATAAATTGCTTTAAAAAACCACAAGATAGTAAGATTGTGTATTATCTGAGGCTTGTTCTGTAATTTAGCTAAGAAAACATTACCACCTGGATACTCATCTCTAGCCAAACATTGTAAAACTAAGAGCCTTCAAAGAGATGAGAATAAAACTTAATTAAAAAAAGATTCATGTAGTGCCTGAAATGCAAAACATCTATTACCCATGTGGATGACTCAATTCACCTACTTATGCTGGCTTAAACATGGGTGTTGGATTTAAAGATACCTGGAGGAAGTTAATGTAATTGCTGAAGGCAAGCCTGATGTTGCTGTGTATACACCTGTTCTATAACCTTTTATTTCTGTGTGCTCATGTAAACACTAATATGTTTGTGGCTATTAAGTATGTTTAAAGCAGTGACTACTCTAAGCTTGCAAGCACTGCTGAAGCTGAAATACACTGCAGAGCAATACCAATGTATTTGTAGCTGAAGAATCACCAGGGAAAAAGTACATGACGAAACCTCTGCAGCTGACTGGGTTGCTGGAAGTTGTCTCTATGCAGAGAAATAGAATCCCAGGTACAAGCTTCTGTCAAGGATATGTTTGCACTCACGCAGCTTAGCACCTGTCATCATGAACTACCAGTTCTTGTTTATACAATTTATTGTAACTATGTGTTGGCCTTAGCTTTGCATAAATGCAGTCTATATTGTTTAGTATGTTTCAGGGTCATGGGTGCTTCTGGTACTAGAAATACTACATTGCTGTCTAGGTTAGCCTGTCCTTAATCTTGGTTGAAGGGTGAAATTAGGACATGGCTTTCAATTTTTCAGGTGACACCAGTTGTTCCCCTTTCCAATGATTCTTGGTCTATGTCTTTCGCAAAATACCTTGAGCTGAGATTCTATGGGCACCAGTACACTCGAAGGGCTAATGCAGAACCTTGTGGTCATTCCATTCACCATGACTATCACCAGTATTTTTCCTATAATCAGATGGTGGCATCTTTCAGGTGAGATCCATGCTAAAAACTTCCTTCTCTCTAGTACTATGTGAAGCATATAGCTCTAGTAGGATTCGTCAGGTCTGTCTTTCACTTTGAGTACAGCATGGGATAGCATAGCTGCACTATAACCACAAGTGCAGGATTGTGTGCTGGCTTGCAGAGGATATTGTGGGTGCCATCACTGTCCTGGATGGGGCGGGCAGTGTTCCTAAGAATGGCTGGCTCCAGTTCATGATACAGAAGAGAAACACTCTTCCCTGTCTAATCTCAAACTTTCAGAGTTTTGTTTTGGAACATGATCTGTGGTTGTACTTTTTGCCTAGGAGATAAATGGACAGGGTGTTATTGCTACTAAAAGTAACTAAAGCCCTGGACGCATTGACAGTGCCCCTTTTCATATAAGGGCCACAAACCACAATATGGTGTAGAATTACTACTTTGTGGGGAGAGTCTTGTTAATAGCTGTCATATTGCCTTCTCAGCTACTCTCCAATCCGGCTGCTTGAAGTGTGTCTCCCACTCCCCAAGATCTACATCAAACGGCAGGCTCCATCAAAGGTTACTATTTTGCAGGATCTCAAGGATTTCTCTCAAAAGTAAGCTTTGTTTTTAATGCCTTCCTCAGCCTATTTGTATTTTGGACTTCTGTTAGCAGAACAGAAAACTGTATTTGCTACTATAGATAAGACTTGCTAAATATTCTATATTTAATAGAAAAGTAATGGTTTTAAGCACATTTATGTGTGCAGGTACTCCTAAGGGAGGGTGGTATTGAAATCTTCTTTATTACCTTTATGTGCTCTGTCTGTACTAATCTCTCACCTTTTCATCTGGTGGCAATTCAGCCTAAATATAGCCAGTAGAAACTAAGATTCTTCTCTTCTCCATCCCTGAATGTTGCCCTGATATTTGAGTGATATAGCATGTTTCTGAATGACGTTGCCGCTGAAATGTTGACCATCAGCTGGTATCTGAAATGTCACCTTTTCTTACAAAATGCCTTCTCAAGCACAGCTAAAGTATTTCTAATTCCTCCCTCTAATACTAAAAATGGAACAGAGGAGGTGATCCTAGAAGGCTTAATCTGAAAACTGCAGGTAACACTGTACCCTTGCCCTAACATTCTGTTTTGGAAGATCTGATCAAGTTTAAATCCTGCTTTCAGCATGGAAAAACTGCAAAGGCATTGCTCAAATCTATTGTTGGAACTGTTTTCATTATATTGGTCATGTGGCTACTAAACTTTCTGGTGTGTAAAAGACATTTCCCTTTGTTAGCTATTGAATATGATAACAGCAGACAGTCTGGTACCTTCTTGTTGTCTAAGGTAAACTACTGTAAGCCTAGACACCTTCTAAATGTAGGAACAAAAAAAAAGGGAGACAGGCATGATGGAAACTGTATTAAATCCAGCCTGACTGCTGTTCTGCCTGGTGGCTGGGTTACTGTATGGCTGAAACCTCTGTGACTACCTGACTTCAGAACCTGTGGAGCTTTGTTTTGAGCTGAAATAGTTACTCATTCTGTCTCTGAGCCTTTCTGGTGGAGGTGTAGTTTGCAGCCCCAGATTCTTCCTTGTCACATACGACACAACTGTTTCCCTTGCTAGTAATGTGTTTGTGACCTTTGTATTGCTCTCTGACAACTTCCGCTGCTAAGAATGAGTTGTGAAGAGGAATGTCAGTGTGTGTAATTTCTAGGTTTGTGCTATATTAATGAAGTTTTTCCAACTTTCCCTGTAAATTCAGTGGGACAGCCTACTGTACAGAACACTGGCATGTATTGTCTTTTGTATTCTTAAATGCTAACCTTGAACACAGTCATTCTTTCATTAAAGAATGTTGAAGATGTTCCAAGTAGTCACAGCTTAACTGTTTGCATCCCTATCGACAGGGTGTCACAAGTGTATCTTGCTGTTGATGATCGCCTTGCTTCTCTGAAAACAGATACTTTCAGCAAAACAAGAGAAGAGAAGATGGAAGACCTCTTTGCCCAAAAGGAGGTAATGGACTATTTCTGCATTGGCAGACCATAGGCTGCAAAGTGTGTGGGGAAGCCACTTAGATCTAGTGTCATCTCTGGTCACAGAACACTGACAGTTTTTCTTCTGGCAGATGGAAGAGGGGGAGTTTCGAAACTGGACTGAGAAAATCCAAGCAAGGCTGCTTTCATCATCATTAGACACACCTCAACAGCTGCAATCTGTTTTTGAGTCTCTGATAGCTAAAAAGCAAGGACTTTGTGAGATGCTACAAGCCTGGAATAATAGGTAAGAGGGCTTGTGTTGGAATCATGAGAAACACTGATACTGTGTTGGTTAGAGAAGGGAAGAGGTTCTTTTGTGCTTTCTCTCCCTGTAGTGCAGTTGCTATATAGAGTGTGTTATGACAGCTTGTGCTGAATGTCCTCTACCGGTTAAGACCACAGAGCTGGTTGATTGGAATGGAAAATCATCTGAGGCCAGATAATAAAAGTATTGTGTTGTAAAGCACAACTTGCATCTGAGAGGAGAAAGTGTCATCTGAATAAAGGTGGAAGGCAAGGGAAGAGGGGAGCATGGGAAAGCAATTAATTGGGTGAAATTATCTCAGAGGTGCAGAAAATGTTCTGGTTTTGACCATTTGAAATATAGCTTTGGTACATGTTGGCAGCCATCTGAATTTGCAGTAAAGACTAGTGAAGGCATGCTTGGCTGCATTCTAGTATGGAGAAACTTCATAACTTGTGCCTTTCACAGTTAATACCTGTAACCTATCTTCTGATTAATTTGGGGGGTTTTGTGTGGTTTTTTTATTTGTTTGTTTTGTTTTGAAGATTGCAGGATCTCTTCCAACAAGAGAAAGGGAGAAAACGTCCATCAGTACCACCCAGCCCTGGGAGACTGAGGCAAGGTGAAGAAAGCAAGGTACAAGTAGCAGGCTAGAAGCTACTTAAACTTTTTTTTTTTCCTGGGGCAACACAATAGTCTTAAGACTGGCTTTGGTTCACTTAGTAAACTTGTTTTACTGCATCATGTAGTTTTCAGCTGTAGAAGCTTGAATTGCATGTTAGTATATGTATCTTTTCCTAAAGACATGAACCAAGAGCCATATTACACAGAAGATGACTAAGTATGAATAGGATTTTATGTTTCCTGTGGTGGTTGTGTAGTGTTAATACTGATAGCAGAGCTGCACTCTTTGTCAGGCATATGCTTAGGTAGGAAGGAGGTCACCTCATTAGACCCTAGGTTGTTGCCCATCAGGTTTATCCCTTGTGAAAAAGAAAAGGCAAGAATTATCAGGAAAGGCAGAGCAAAGAACACAGGGAGGACTGATAATGAATCTGTAGGTTCATATCTGTTCTGTGATGTGTCTGATGGGAACTGGCTGAGGGGATGTATAAGTGATTCTGGACTGCTGCCTCAAGAGCTCTGTCTAAGGGTACAGTTGCCAGCATGCTGAACAACCACCCTTTTGGGAGCTGGTGCTCTGAGAAAAAGTCCAGACTGCAAGGCAGTACAATATAAGCACCATACAGAGAGGCTGAACTCCCAATAGTTCTAACATTAGCAAGGTGCACTAAGAAACCCTGTGAGACCCTGGATTTGCTCTGCTGCATGCATACATGTCCTTTCCACTTAACACATTTTCTTAGATGCTAAAACACACTTAACCTTAATCTAGCAGCAATTAGGTTTATATAGAGGAAGAGTGTAGTCTTTAAAGCAGCATACAGAGATGATAGTAGTCATAAGCATCTTGTGAAGCTGGGTTGCTGTTGCCTTTTCTTTTTTGTGTGGTGGCAGATACAGTGACAGTGCAGTGGGTGGGAGTGCTCTGTTGTGGTACATCTGCTTTTGCAAGTGTTCCACAGAGGAAGAGATACAGTTATAAAGAGCTTGGCATTAACACTGGTATTTTGTTACTCTGCCTAGATCAGTAGCATGGATGCTTCCCCCCGCAATGCTTCTCCAGCACTGCAAAACGGAGAAAAAGGTCTGTTGTTTGTTTGTTTATTTCTTTTTCTTAAGCAACCAAAAGAAGCTTGCTGTTACCGTTTGCCTGACATAACATGGGAGCCTTTGTCAAATTTGATAATTTAGAGAAACAGTGAATTCCCATTGTGTCAGATGGGAATAAGCCAATTTATAGCTTGCTATTATAAAAAGCAGTCTGCTTCTTGTATGAAGCTGAATTACTAATGATACTAAACTGGCCAGCAAGGGTTTTCCTTTGAACTTGAGTTTAAAAGCTTTCAGAGGCTTTCTAAATAACTGAATAACTACATGGAATTTGGGAAATGCCACTCACCCGTTCTGTGAAGTGGTTGTGGGTGCTGAGACCTCATATCTGTGAGGCATACTGAAGATTGTGTGAACTGAAGGTAGTGGGTATAAGTGTATGCATTTTCTGGAGGTTATGTGCTACATTGATCAACTTGCCCATTTCTTTTCTCTGGGTGGCCTTACCTGCTTTCTAAGTAAAAACTTCTTGAAAGTAGACACTGGTGGTAGCTTGGCCTGGGAGCAAGCGATATCTCTTCTGACAGCCATGTAAAATGCTTTCTTCTGTCCTTGTACTCTCAGAGGATCGTTTCCTGACTACTTTATCAAGTCAGAGCTCCACAGGCTCCACTCATCTTCAGCTGCCCACACCTCCAGAGGTTGTATCAGAACATATGACTGGTGCCAACACACTGTCTGAACAGGATACAACAAGCAGCTCAGAAGGTATAGTTCAGTTGTGGTCTTGTGTTCTTTCTCTTGCTTCTCTGTGGCAAGTGTACAAGATCTGTGATTTGCGATGCAGACTTAAGTTATCTCTGTTCCAGATGTGTTTGATGGACACTCACTGGGATCTACAGACAGCCAAGTGAAGGAGAAGTCTACTATGAAAGCTATTTTGGCTAACTTTTTGCCTGGAAACAACTATAACCCCATTCCATTTCCCTTGTAAGTACTGCATAATATATATGATGTACAAAATTAGCAGCCTGATCAAATTTCAGAGCTGTGCATGCTTCCTTTACTTGGTATATAATTTAAGTCATCGTTTGGGTTTGCCTCTGAATAAGCTGTAGAACTTCTTCAAGGCAAGAAGTTTCCTGTGTCCCTTCTAGGTATTTGTAGGTTACCTGCTTTTCTTATTAATGGTCCACCCTTGTGCATATACATTATCAGTTTCTTCTCCTCCTAGCAGGCATGCCTCTCAGAACTCTTGTGGGAGCAGAAGGGGTGTGGTGGGGAAGGGGGGGAAAAGTGCCTTGTAACTTCATTGCTGCAGGGAGGGAGCAGAAATGTTCTTCCTTAGCGAAGACTTACTAAAGCTACATGCCTGTCTTGTTTTTACTTCCAGACCTCTTCCAAGGGTTGGACTCAAATTGACATTGTCTGGGTGTAGGTCAGGTTCAATGGCTACTGCATGTGCCCTCAAGTACCCCTCTCATATGAAAATGGGCAGGCTGGAAAGTCTTTCAGCTACTTGGTCTGCGTGCTTTGTAGTGTTTCTCGTTTGATGTGAGCCTAACATTTGGCAGCCTGAGTTTAACCTCTGAATCCTACCCCCAGGGTAGTAGTAGAGGCCATGGGCTATTGAGGTAAAAGTTAATAATTGGACCCTACAGATAAGAAAATCTTACAGAAACCCAGGAGGCTTTTGGGAATTTTCTGTGCTAAACTGCTTGTTCAGAAAAGAGTCCAGGTTTGTCCCCTGACTTCACTCTGCAGGTCATGCTGCAGGACAGTCAAAACAAACTCAGGCAGGTTTTGGTGCCATTAGAAACAGTGGCTGCTAAACAGAAATAGACTCTAACTTGGAGCTGGTCTTCTGATATAAGCAGCTTGCTTGAAGTGCTGATTGCCTTAACATATTAGCATTTAGATTTAACCATATAGCTATGAATGTGTCTATTGGGAGAAGCTGATCTGGGGAGCTTTGGTTCCATGCTGAGACTTGCAGCTTGTGCCTGGGAGTGCAGTGATGAGATCTGGGTTTTGACCAAAACTTCACCTTTTCTTTCCACAAACTTTTATGATCTACTAACAGTGTCCCTATGTTGTTTTCATTTAGTGACCCAGATAAGCACTACCTAATGTATGAGCATGAACGTGTACCTATTGCAGTCTGTGAGAAAGAACCAAGCTCCATCATAGCTTTTGCTCTCAGGTACTGGTGTGATTTTGCTGTTTTGTCTGACACATGTTGTACTTTTGCAGCTTTTCTGTGCAAGGAATATTCAAATCCTAATGGTAGGGAACAAGCATGACAGAATTTCTTCACTCGGCTCTGTTGGGAGTTTCTGGCAGAGCTGAAGTTCTCTCCTTTTACTGTTGAGATATGGAACATAGTTTTTCTGACTTGCAACTGGATTTTTGGCTTTTCATGCTGAACTCTAGTACACAAAAAAGAATTAATTTTGTACTGTTCCCTGTAATGTGAAATTGTTAGAGAAAGAAGTGCAACTAAATTTTGCTCAGCTCTCTAGCCTGGAGGAAGTGCAACTGAGCTAGGGAACAGCAGTTAGGCATTCGTACTGCAGTCTGTCCCTTGCCCTACCTTCAGTTGTAGCAGCTCTTCCTATTACTCAGCTCTCCAAATCAGCTGCTTCAGTAAATTTTGGGGATTTGCGTGTCACAAGGCAGCAGACTTTTAAAGAAGCATGTTCCTAAACTGTGGGAGAGGGAGAAGCAAGGGAGGATTTTTCCTGCAGTATGATTTAGAGCAGCTTCTGTTCTAAGGGAACTAAGTTCTAATTGTAAGAAAAAACGAAGGAGAGGCTTTTAAACTGTGGGTTTTTGTGTCCTGTGGTTGTCTCTGAGCTGAATCTTTGGGCTGGTGTTACAAAGTCTAAGTCTCTCAGAGAACAGCTGACTCTTCTCTTTTTTTTTTCTTTTTTTTTTTCTTCTTTTTATTTTCCTTTCCCCTTCAGTTGCAAGGAGTACAGAAATGCCCTGGATGAGTTGTCCAAAGCATCTCTGAAGAACAGTTCTGAAGAAGGACTGCAGCCGAACAGGTTAACATGCAGGAACTACAGTACATAGAGCAAAGGCACAGTGATTATAGTGAATAAGCCAAAACTAGGACAGGGAAGGACCCTCAAAATATGCCTCTGTTAGTATCTCTGCTTTCTGATGGAATCTGACATATTCCACGTAACCAACACATACTTGCAGTATCTGAGTTTCCACTTTGTCGGGGACTGTGCTGATTCCATCACCTGATCCCTTGACTGCGTGCATGGTAGGGTTTACTGTGCTTGCTTACCTTTCCTGTGGTGATGAATGGAACTGTTGCTATGGAGCCCTGAGAGGTTTTTCTCAGGGATGTGGAGGAGGACAACTTTGGAGAGTCCCATGCCATTACAGCTTTAACCTGTATCCTCTTCCCTTAGCAGTACTTAGTGTTAGGCATGGAAGAGAAATAAAGGTACAGGAGTAAAGCAATAGTGTCTCGGGTGGCAGTATTTGTTGGGCTCATGACTGTTTATTTCCTTTCTCCTTTCAGCATGTCAGACAGCAAACCAAAGAGCAGTAGCCCTGTCCGCCTGCCTGAGGCTAACATGGGTCCTTCAAATCGCAATGCAGAGTCAGAACAGCGTAAGACCATTTTGCCAAGACCATATCCATGATGCTGATCTCAGCTTAGACTTGAGTCCACTTAGTCTGGGTTCTAGGTCTCATGAAAGTTAAGTTAGAACAAAGTAAATGCATTCTGAGTTGAAATTGTGACTAATCTTAGAGTTGACTTGATGTAGAACATGGCGGCGGGGTAGTGGTGCGAGTTTGTTTTTTTGAAGTCTGTGCCCATGATGGCTTTCTCTGATTCTTATGAGATCAGAGCATCATTCCCTGATTGAATACGTTACGATGTAGTAGACCATGGGTTGTTCTTGAGTCTAGCCTGTTCAGTGGGGTATGATGTCCATGATATGTTCTGATCTCTTTTGGTACTGCCTTCTTTAAAAAGATGGCGATTAAATTATTTTGAAATGGAGAAGTGAGGTTCTTACTAAGTTAAAGACACTCACACTTGGTCTGTGTTTTCAAATGAGTCAGCATTCCAGAATGCTACTCAGAACACTAAGTCAGCTAACCTGATGGACCTTGGTTGCCTGAAGAATAGAAAATGAATTACAGTTGAATGACGTCATTCCTCCAGTTAGAACAGTCAATGGAGAATGCTTGTATGAGTCATGCTTTTATTAAACTGCTTGTAGAAATGCCAAGACCAATTTCTTTATTCCTTTTTACTGTAGCAAAGAAACCATCTGGTGTTTTGTCTTTCTTCCGTGGCACGGGAGGGAAGAGCCCAGACCTGTCTTCCCAGAAGAAAGAGACCTTACGTGGTGCTGACAGTGCCTACTACCAGGTTGGACAGATGGGCAAAGAGGGAGCAGAAAACCAAGGAGCAGAGCCTCCAGGTACAAGACTGTTGAGTCTGTCTTCTGTCTTGGGCTGTTTCTTCTCCCAGAATGCAATCCTGCTTATACTTTTTCAACAGTCCGAGATTACTCAACATGCATTGAAAGTGAATGATTTGAGCATCAGGTGTAGGCTTCTCCTAAAGACATTGCTTTGCTATATGAGAAGGGAAATAGGGTCTTTCAAACCTTGGTAATTATAGGTACGTTAAGTGGTCTGGGCTCGAATGCCTTTGGATTTAGTTGACTCTAGTTAAGCAGCCCAGTCTCTCTCCTTCACTTCCTGTTTAACTTTCATTGTTTCAGCTCATGGAAAACAAATGAAGAGAAAGAGAAAGTTTGTACTTGTGTGTCTCATGAACAGCAGCGCCCTTCTAGCATACATACTATATCATACAATTATAGCTGTATCTCTAATTCCCTATGTATAGTTCCCTCTGAAAAAAGAAAATATTTTTCTTGTGAGTTTACAAGTAGTATCTTATATGGCTTTCTCAGTAATAGTAATGAACAACCCTAACTGAATGGTCCCTTTATGCCTTCAGATGATGTAGATGGAGGAGATGGACAGAAGAAACAGCTGGTGAATCCCCATGTGGAACTCCGTGAGTAGTTGTGAATTATAACTTGAAGTCTTAGCTGACAGACTGTGTTCTTCATGAAAATGTGATGGAAATCTTGAAGTTAATAATTACTTTTTCTTTGTATGGGGCAGGAAGGAAAAACAAATCAAGAATAGAGCAATGCAATTTTTACTTACTGTAATCAATCTCTGTTGCAAAAATACCCCACAAAATTTTTTTTAAAAAAATTTATCTTTTGTCTGGACACTTTCCCATGGCGCATACTGTGAGCTAACCTAAAGGGGGTTGACTTTCTTGTAAGTTTTACATTTAAATCCTATTGGTTTAAACTTCCAAAGTACAATAGGCCTGAGAGAGGGATGTTTAGCACAATAATACTCTTCTAGACATCACTAAAATCTCTTGTCATCTGAGGTAGTCAGTGAGTATTGCATGCTGTTATTGAGGAAGACCTTTCTTTGCAGAGTTTTCAGATGCGAATGCCAAGTTCTACTGCCGGATTTATTATGCTGGCGAGTTTCACAAGATGCGTGAAGTGATACTGGGGAGCAGTGAAGAGGACTTCATCCGATCCCTCTCTCACTCTATGCCTTGGCAAGCACGAGGTGGCAAATCTGGGGCTGCGTTCTATGTGACTGAGGGTAAATGCAGCTCTTTTGCCCCATCGTAATTAGAGGGTGTTATTTGGGGATGGTGGTGGTTAGTGTGGTGTTTAATCCCTGATTATCTCTAGAGGGTTGCTGACTGTGAAGTGGCCACTCAGAATATAAAGTTAAGTGGATTGTTCCGGGGTCTTCAATATCAGATTTTGTCTCTTTGTATGTGCAGGAGAACAAAATGCAGTTCTCTTTTTCAGTAGTAGCAGCTAGGGAGGCCAGTTGAGCAGAAGAGTTGTACTGCCTTAGGCAGGCTTCAGAAAACAAACTTCAGTATGATTCAAGGAACACTGGTTATTAAAGACACAGTGTTTCTTATAATCCCACATGCTATAGATGGTTTATATGATTTTTTTTTTTAAACTGTGGCCACTTCTAGGCCCCTACTTAAAACAAGTTTTGAATGGAAGGGTCTGTAGGCTGTTTCTGTTGTCTGTATAAGAAGCCCATGTAGCTGAGATAAATCTAACTTAGGCAGTCTCTTCTCCCTGATTTGCTAGAATGCTGAAATCCAGAAAGGCTGAAATTCTGAATTTCAGAATTTCAGAAATAAAAAAGTTTTTTACAAATGAACATCTGTAGCTAAGGATTTAAGAAAATTGTAGTCCTTTAATTTTCCATACTACTTCAGCTGTGCGACAGTCCTAAAGAACTTGCAAAGAATACATCACTTACTGTATGTAACCCTGTTGCCTTTGTCTGATATTAAAACAGATGATAGATTCATCTTGAAGCAGATGCCTCGTCTGGAAGTTCAGTCATTCCTTGACTTTGCTCCACACTACTTCACTTATATCATTAATGCAGTTCAGCAGAAGGTATTTAAAAAAACAAAGTGCCTTTTGTTTTAGGCAGTGTTCTATATTTTACAGACTAATGGCAGTTTCCATTAACCCCTTTCATTAAGTAAAAGAAAATGTTGGTGGGTATGAGCTGTACTAATATTATGTTTTTACGATTAAAAGTGGGAATTTTGCTAGAGCTTCTAAGCTGTAATACACAGACAGAACAGTGGTGCCTCTAGTACTCTAGTATTTGTTTGCTGTTTGCTTGTACACAGAGATCTTACCCATGTCTTCTCTTTGTCAGAAGCCCACAGCACTGGCCAAAATCCTTGGGGTATATCGAATTGGATACAAGAACTCTCAAAACAACACTGAAAAGAAGCTGGATCTGCTTGTCATGGAAAACCTTTTCTATGGCAGGAAAATGGCTCAGGTAAGAGCCAAGCGTTCCGTTCCCTTGCAGTGCAGTTCTGACTGGGAGCAAGAGCAGGGTTACTAGTAGCCATCTAGATAACTTTTAACTTTGCACGTGCTGTCTATATCTGGCACTGGTCAAAGATGACAGTTTGTGCCTGTTCCCTTGTTATGTGATCCTTGGTAACTTGATGCCTTATTGGCTAGTTCAGATAGCTGTAGTGCAGGCTTCAGTTTTCAGAAGTCTTATTTGTCCCTGCATCTCTGGTGTCTGAGAGAAACCATTGCCAACCTAATTAGGAAAATGTGAAACCTTTTTGCAAAGCTTTTAGAAGAACTAACTGGGGTTACAGACTAATTTGTTTAGAAGGACACCCTCACTGATGGAGATGGTGAGCTGCTGTGTAGTGTGTGGGGGAGACTAATAATGTTTTGAATCCTCTGTTCTCTCACTGAACCACTTCATGTGTGGGACAAGATTTTGAGTTCAGTCTTGCCCTTAATAAAGGAAAAGCGACCTTTATGAGGCAGTAGAATGAAGACCTTAAAATTACTGGGGGAAAATTCTCTTCAAATACAGAGTTGATGTTAAAAAGGAAGTTCAAACAAATGTCGCTTCTAAAACTAGATAGTATCAGTTTTTTCCACCTTCCCTCCCAGTGCCTGACCTCAGACAGGGGATGTTTGTGGGAGGAAGTGAACTGAGGGAATTTTAGATAGGTGTAAAGGATGTTGTGGGTTTTCTTTTTGTTTGTCTATTTTTTAAATCATGAGGGTGATCAGGCACTAGAACAGAGACCCAAAGAGACTGTGGACTCTATCCCTGAAGTTAGTCAAATCTTGACTGGACAAGGCTTGAACAACCTTCTCTAACAGGACCTGCTTCAAGCAGGGCATTGGGCTGGAGACCTCCAGAGATCCTTTCCAACCTGATGAAGGTCTGCCTCTTGCCTTGCCAAAAGATGTTAAATGGTGCTTCATGCAAGCCCCACCTCCCTCTTCTGTGGCTTTATTTTTGTCAGCATTTGAGTCTGTAGAAGCTGGCTGAAAAACTGAATTTACCCATACGATTGGGACACTTTTCCCTTAAATTAGGCTAAATAATAATGAAATAGCTTGCCTAAAACTTGTGAATTGAGGTGGCAGAGCCTTCATGTAGGCTTACATGCTACTCTCCACTCAGGAAACTTTAATTTTTGTAGTATAAAAATGTTTTTTGTTAACTCCCTTCCTCCTGTGGAGAAGGGAAGAGTGGCCATGCCATGCTGCCTTCTCAAACACTGCAGTTAGGTATGATGAAGTCTTTAACCTTGCAGAACAATGGAACAAAGTAGTGCTGTTCTCCGTTTGCAGGTTTTTGACCTGAAGGGCTCCCTCAGGAATAGAAATGTTAAAACAGACACAGGCAAGGAAAGCTGTGATGTAGTCCTTCTGGATGAGAACCTTCTGAAGATGGTCCGGGACAATCCTTTGTACATCCGTTCCCATTGCAAGGCTGTGCTGAGAGCTTCCATACACAGTGATTCCCAGTTCCTCTCCAGCCACCTCATCATTGACTATTCCCTGCTGGTGGGTCGTGATGATACCAACAATGAACTGGTTGTTGGGATCATTGGTAGGTTGTCTTTTGTATTTTCTTGCTTTCAGCTGGTGAAACTCCTTTCTTCTGGTTTAGGTGTTTATAGTACTCTTAGAACTGTACCACCATCACAGAGATGTGTGTCAGGAAAGCTTGTCTTCTCCCTGATGGAATACCACCCTCACCTCTCATGGGTATTCAAAGTGGAGCTAGGAATTCTTCTCTCCAGCTCTTGTATGGGCTTGTGTTGGCATTTGCATTACTAAGAATATATGCAGGAGGACTCACAGGTAGTGAAAAAGCAGTCAAGTTGGTATTTAACCTACACGTTGGGTTGAAGTAAGGAATGTTATTTGTATTCTTTCATGTGTTTAAAGTTCAGTTCGGTAATGTTTACATAGCTATTTAAATTTTAACTTTTGTGGAGGGGATCTGAGGAGAAACAATATTGGTAGGGATGGAAGAGCAAAGTTAAATGTCACAGGATCACTTGTGATCATGTAGTCTGACCTGGATAATATGGGTGGCAATGCAGTAATTAACCTTGCCACATCCTCTGACTTGTGAGTGGAAAGTAGAGCCTCCTCTTTAGACAGGCAAACTTGTATTGTGCAGAGGACTTGGAGATGAAGCCATTTTGCAGGATGTGGAAGTGACTCTTGGAAATGAGATTCTCTTTAAATCTAGCTCAGAAATGCTTCCAGATGAGACCTCAAGCCAGGAGGTCTGGATTACTCTTTTTCTGATAAAGCTTGAAAGCCATTCCTGTAACACTTCTAGTTGAGAATTAAGTCCCAGCTACAATAAACTGCAAGCTGTTACTACTTTCTAGTTTTGTAGACTCTTGAGTATTTGGGTAAATGAGATGAGACTCTGCTTCTTCTGTATGTGTGGCTTTTTGCTGTCCTATGGAAAGTCTTACCTGATTAAAGAGTGTATTTTATATGATGTTTAAAGCTGACAGTTCCTCCACTGTGGCAAGAACAGCTGTTCATGATCGGAAAGAGCTTGTTTAAGACAAATATCTTCAAGAAGAGAGAACATGCCTGCTGTATCAGGCTATTACAATGTTCCCTAAGTGATACCTTGAGAACCTACAAAGTACTTAAGCTAAATTTGTGGCAGGGGTGGAACTAAAAATGATTAGTTTGGACTGAGTTTGAATCTGAGGTCAGAATCTCTACCTATTTTAGATCCTAATGTGATACGGGAAGCAAATAAGCTATGTCTGTGAGGAACTGTGAAGGCTATTTTATTTGTAGGCCCTGTTGTGAGGAGCTTTGGGCCTTGGGGCATGAAGTGACAGTAGTTAGTGCACAAACTGATGATATCAGTACCAAAGCATTCAAAGGGAGTGTTTTCAAAGAGTATTTAGATAAATGGATAAGTCTTAAGATTGACAGGTCTGGATGAGTTCTGTGTAAAGCACAGCTGAGGTGAAATTTGGATAATTATGGTGGCCTTTTGTAAATCTAGAAACAGTAAATTCAAATTTGTATAATTACAGTTGCAGTCAAATGTTAGGAGATAATGATATCCAGTAATGAAAAGCTTAACTTACTGCAGCTTTAGCTTTGCAGACCAAAATGTTCGTGTGCTTGTAATGACTGAGCATGCTTTCTCTGAAAGGGACTTGGAAATAATTCTGAAGCCTTCTCCTTGCAGCCCCCTCTTCCAGTCAGGGTCACTGGTGGTGTCCTATCGTGAAGTGAAAAGTGTTTGCTTTCTGTTACCAAACCTCTAGGTAGCTGCAATGATGAGGAATACTACTGGCTTAAATGGATAGGTGTCCAAGTCTTGATGCTGCTACCTGTTGCAGTAAAGTAGTGGGAGCTGTCACAGCAAAGTGGGGCTTCTTGATACGTTTCTGGGATGAGGATCAACTAAGTAACTCTTGTAAATGAGCCCTTGAAACTCTAACATGGATACAGACAGATGTGCCTGGGCAGTCTGTTTTTGCAGAGGCAGGAAGAGTTCATTGTGATCTTGCTGGGCTTTTGAGATATCATATTCACCCTACTCAAATATAATCAATACTCTGGAAGGTGAGGCAACTGGTAGGGGGAATGCTGGAATTCTTCTGGTGATGGAAGCCTACTGCTTTCTTGCCTTTTTTGAGGGGAAATAGATACATTTTAGAACAGCATTATTTGGGTTATAGCAGATATGACATGCTTGTGTGCTTTTTTTTTTAATTGCAATAGACTATATTCGCACTTTTACCTGGGACAAAAAGCTTGAAATGGTGGTGAAGTCAACTGGCATCTTGGGAGGACAAGGTAAGTCCAGAATGAAAGCAAAAATTTTGATCATGTTTCCTTGTCACCTGGAAGCTTCTAATTAACTCTGCTAATAAAGCCACAACTTCCCCACCATGCAGATTTGTAACATGAGATTAAGTTGCCCAGAATAGGGCAACAGGGGAAGGAATAACAAGTTTCAGAAAAATTAATACATTGATCTGCCTCCATGAGTGACCCTTTAAGTACTATAATTCCTGGGAATGGGGTACGGGTCATCTACTTTTCAGACTGTTCTTTTCTGTTTCTTAGTTACCAGCTACTCACATGCAAACTTAGTCATCCATAGCAAAAACCCTTGCCGACTCATTTCAGAAGATGTTTTCTGAGTCCAGAAAGTCAGATATGCTCTGTGCTGTTAGTGTGGAGGAATCCTCGTCAAGCAATTGACTACTGCCCATATTTTGAGGAGCCGATGTGTTCCCTTTGTGGAAGCGAGTAGAGTACCTTTTGTGCAGCATTGCCTAGTGTTGGCCACATGTTAATAGGAGGGCTAGAAAGAGAAGGGAACACTTCATGTACCACTCCGCAGGTGTCTGGAGAAGATAAGAGCATGTCCACAGAGTGAAATTCTTTATGGAAAAAATTTGCATCTCTGCTGGATGGAGTACCTCAAAGACCTATAAACAGGAGAAGAGGAAAAAAACCCCAAACTGATCAGGGCTGATGTAAAAAGTCTAGATGGTTCCTCCAAGTTCAAGTATTTCAATTCAGTGTTAGGAGTCCAGACCTTGATCTGTCTTCTCTCCTAAATGTTTAAAATAAAAATAAAAAAAAAAAGTAGCCGATAATGCCTGTTGGTTCCAGGACCCTTCCATGTACAGTATGCCTTCATGATTATGCTGTCTGGTGTTGTAATCTCATATGTCATCTGTCTGTACTGCAGTATGCTCTTTAGCCCATATCTAACTGTTCTTTACTCTTACACACACATTAGGTAAGATGCCAACTGTGGTCTCTCCAGAACTGTACCGGACCAGGTTTTGTGAAGCTATGGACAAATATTTCCTGATGGTGCCAGACCACTGGACAGGACTGGGCCTGAATTGCTAAGCTAAAGCCCATATTGGGAAAGCACAAAAGGACAATGACATTACAGTCCACTCTCTTCCTGTGGTCTATCCAACAGTAAGCAAGAGGATTGCAGTTCCATGGCTACACTGACCGTGTGCGTCATGTTGTGAAGTGTTGCACTTTAATCCTCGTCTTGGAGGCTGATAAGTGAACCAGCCTCACTAAGTATCTATGCTGTAAGCTACCACTGAACAGCACTGATAAGAGACATTCCCTCTGTCAGTAGGGAAGATGATGCTATCTCTGTGTAAGAGCACTGAAACAGATGCTATCCAGTTCATGATGGTGTAGAAGTACATGATCTCTCAAGTCTTGCACTGCCTAAGTGGGGTTGAATACAACCAACTCGTATTTCTGTAGTGGATACATGGTACTGCAAATGTGAAATAAACCCCCCTCTGTGTGGGTGGGTGGGTGAGAGAAGAATGAAATTAATTCCTGAGTTCTGCTATTGCTGTCAGTGGTCTGTAGTTGACCTGTTTAGGATCCATGAATAACTTGTCCTGCTTATGCTCTGTAACTTCAATTTTTCCTGCGTTCTGTAAACATGTTTTTTTTTGTTTTGTTTTTTTAAAGACAGCTTCACAGCTGTAATGCCATATCACTACATCTTTTAAGTTATATTACTGTAGTACAACTCTGTCTTTATCTGTCATAATTTCATTTTAGCTGAATCCCATATAAATGGGTTGTCAGTCATCAGCATACTGCAAAACCCAAAACATATCCCTTCAATCCTAAACAGTACTTTAATCTAAATGTTGCCCAAATCCCTGAAAACAGGTAACTAAAAAATATACCCTTTAATTTAACAAGACTTGATTAATTACAGTTATGAAGCTGATTAACCCTTTCCTTAGCAGAAGGCACTAAGTTGCTAGACAAAATGAAGCATACTGCCTTAGAGTGACAACTTTCTCCTTAATGAAACCATCATTCCTGGCAGATCATTTCAAATCCATTTCAGTTCCCCAGGACTTTCAAACAATGCATTTACCTCATGGTGAAACTTTGCTGGGAGAATATTTTTCTTGCGTGTATGACATACTGATGAGAATGAGCATCCAGATCTCATCACACTGTGCAGTCCCAATGGAAAAATTGTTTCTTCAGCAGTATTAGATTTTTTTTTTGCACCACTGAGATGAATGTAGTCATGTTTTTCTGTAAAAGGAAAAAACTGAACTAACAGGTATCTTGTATGATGGACAAGATGTGCAGAGATGTGTGAATCTCTGTTATGACAATAAGCACTTCTTTCCATTTTTATTAATTTTTTACCTGGTTTTGTAGGTGATGAGTTTACTTTTTAGCTTCGTTATAATATAGGCCAGTAGATAAGAGAGTTTTTTATGAGTTTGAGAGGCAAGAATACTGTTCTTTGACTTCCAGTCTCTGATGGAAGGACTTCAAACGAACATGGAGTCTGGGAGCTCTTTATGACCACTTGCTCATTCTGACCAGTTGCCTGGTAATACCATCTTCACTGTAACTATGGATTGAAATTTGCATTTTTTCACTCCTCCTGTGTTCAGTATTTTCTTCTGCAGCAGATGGTGGTGACTCTGTTCAGGAGCAACAGCTGGGCAGTACTGAGAATGGAAAATGGCAGCAGTGAGAATTGAGCTGTTGGCTCCAAAAACAACCAGTGCAGCTCAGGTCTGAGCTTCCAGGAGGCAACAGTCGTTTGTGTTGGAAGAAGTCTTCCCCACCCCGCTGCAAAGCCCTGCTGGAGAATAAGCAAAAATGCTGACCTTGAAGCAGCAGAAATGAAAGTATTCTCACTTCCTCTGTACAATGTAATCATTGTTTCTGGGGGTGCAGCATTGAAGGCTGCAGTGATGTGTGCTGTGGAAAGATGACACAGTACTTCTTGTTTCCTCTGGCCCAGAATCCCTTTGGTCCAACACAGTACATCAGGTACAGCTGACCACCTCTGGGACACATCTTGTCTCTTGTGTTGAAATGTAGGATGACTGGCTCTGTGGGGGGCCTTGTGTAATGAGGAACCAACCAGTCCATCGTCTCAATGCTACTCTCACTTCTGTGACTTTTACTTTCTGTCTTGGCTCATTGATGTGAAAGACCATGCCATGCAGCCTGAACATGTTCCAGTCTTGGTTAAAGTTTACAGGTATTCTTCCTCCTTCACCTCTTGAAGTTTACAGGGAGAAAACTTGATTTGCCTGCCTAGCTAAGGTAACCCAACAGCAGCTGGCTGTGTTATCTTCCACCTTTTGTCAGTATGTGGATTGGTTGTTGAAGCATGAATATGGGCAGCGTCATGGCATCTGCACTAGGCTAATGTAGAGCTGTCATGTGCTAGCCCTGTCCTGTCACCAGTAACCTTACTCCAGTTATGTGTGGCTGCTCTAGACTGCTTGTCTTCCAGAGTCTCAAGCAGCTGGCTTTAAAGCAACACAGTCATCTGACTGTAGCTAATGTTCCCCTGTACATGACAGCATGAAGTCCTCAGCACTGTAAAAGTAAGAGAACCTTCCACTGGCCAGCTGTTTTACAGCCTGTGAACACAGAGCCCAAACGTGTGAATTGTGACCTTCTTGGGCTGATGCTATAGCAGTTGGAGGGCTTTGCAGGAGTGATCTTGAGCTGGCATCAACAGCTAACTTTGGGTCAGGATGTGGCTGATAGACTAGTCCTGACCAGACTGAAGTAAATAGCAAACTACTAGTCATGGGTAACACAGTAGCTGCAGTATCAACTGGAATTGGGACATCTTTGGGTGCCACGTGACAAAGTTGTAAGCATTTCTAGTTCAAATCCCAGCAGTTGAACAGATCTCCTCAGATGTTCCCCTTTCAGAGTAAGAATTGTCCTGGCATTTCACTTGCTACAAAGCTGACTTTCTCAAAAGGAGAGGAGTACTTCATGCAGAAGAGGTCTTTGAGAGCTCCTTGTGGGGCTGTGTTAGGTTTGTGTCCCTGCAGCATGCCTAAGGATGTCCTAGGGGAACAGTCTGGGGATTCTATGATTATATGAGCCCTTTGATTAGAGTTTTTTTTTATTTCTTTATAACATGTTTAGCATGTATGTGTGTAAGCAAATCCCAGTTGCAAACATGAAGACTGCATTTCTTCAGAGCTACACTAGCTCTTTTCCTTCTGTTGTTTTGATCTGAGGCCTTGTGATAAATGTCTAAATCTTGTCCCAGTCAGAAGTGATGACTTGCTTTGAATCATCGTGTAGACAGCAGACTGCCTTGTAGTGGCCCAGCGATGTATTCTGTACCCCAAAAGCACATGAGGGACTTGTGCTGGTTAAGTAGATCTGCTGGGCTTGGGGGGAGTTACCTGTGGAGTGGACTCTCCCCTGTGAGAATGACTAAAACCAAATGAATCATTCACTAGCAGGTGGCCAGACCAATCATTATTCAGAGCACTTAATGTACCATAATGTATGTATTTCTAATTTACCTTGGTTCAGCTGTATTTTATAAAATTGATGTACTAAACTATTTGAGAATAACTGCCTTGACTACTTGGAGAATCTAAATGTAATGTATATAGGTATAAATAAAGTGACTAAAATATACTTGAGTCTATTCCATGTGGTGGAACAGTTAGGTCTCGTAGCATCCCATTTTCTTGATCAGAGCCTAAGCCACCTGCTCTGCAGCAATTGCTCTGTTGGAGGTTGCCAGCTTTGTGTGCAGTGTAAGCATGCCTGTTGCGTCTCTGTACCTTGCAGCTTGTCTCTTCTAATGGAGCAGGACCTCTGGGCAGCTCTCCAGGTCAGTGGCAGCAGAATGTGCAAATAACCTTTCATGCACTTCTCCCACCTTCTCCCCAGCTGCTTTTCAACACACAGTGCTGTATGAGACAGGGAGCCAATTTAGTCCAGCAGGTGGTGGTGTTGCTGTGGCAGAATTCTTGCAAGAGGTAGAACACATTTGTCAGGAAAAATCTCCAGGTATTTACATAGTCTTCTTTTAAGTGGACTAGATAAAGAAAAAATCCAAGGAAGTCTGAAGATTAATGGCATATCTTGACTGCTTCATATTAACCTGGTATATAGTAACCTCCTCTCTTAAAGCTAAAAATGATGTGTGATTAGTTTTGGGAAGGTGACTTGTTGGTCCCTAGAATTCAAAACTCAAAATGTAAAACTTAAGGATTTTACCTGTATTATGTGCCATCAGTGCTTTTGCCAGCTGAGTTTGAGGTTTTTATCTGCTGCAGTCTGAAACTGCATCAGAACCTGTCCTAACATAGGGGTGTGAGCAAGGCAAAAAGTGGGATACTCAATTCAAGGGCAGTGCTGCGTTATGCTGGTATAAGGTTGAGTGGTGGGACTTGTGGGCCTTCTAGCGTGATGTTGAAAAGCACAAATGCAGGGTTATCAGAACAGTGTTCCTCTAATACTTGGAAGTGGGACTGCCAACACCTAGTAAAGGACAAGAGTTTGTGCTCTAAGTGAAACTTCTTTTGGTTGGTGCTGAAGTCATCAGTATTAGAAAATGAAATGGTAATTGCATGTGTTTTCCATTGATGTAACTGATGGTATGAGACGTTGGTCAACTTCCCCACTACCACCTTGATTTAGACAATACTACTATTTAAAAAAAAGAAAAAGTTGGGATTCACCATCTTGGTCTATGCTGTAATGTCTCAATTTGAGTCCTATGGCCTCCTAATGTGAAGATATATAAGCAACAAAGAATACTTCAGTTTTAACGTGGAGGTTTTAAGTCAGTGCAGATACAGAGTAACTTTGCACAAGAATTGGGAAAAGCCAGGCCATCCCTCGTTTCTTCCTGTTTTCAGGACACAGAACTGCAAATCTGGCACACAAGAGATTCAAGATCCAGCTGTGCTAGACACTGATACTAGCCTAGTATTGCCACTAAGGTACTAAAGTAATAACAGGAATCTATGTTCTCCAAGCTCCTGCTGTGGAGCCTTGGTTTGTTATCAAATGTATAAGAAACAAAAAGAAGCAAGAAGAAAACCACTTCATTTTTCAGTGAGAGGAGGTTTGTCTGTATCTAAATGTGTGCCTGGAGGCAGAGCCTGCTTCTCGAAAGCTGAAGGATGACAGAAACAGGTAAGAAGAGTGGGTTAGGGGCTTGTTTGGTAATCTAGCAGAGTCGGAATGAGCCCCAATGTGTGCACCTTGTTATAATGCCTTGTTCTCCAGCCCCTGCTGTCTTGTGGCATGAAGGTCCTACACCAAGTGATGCATGTGAGGGTAGAAAGCAATGCTTGGTTTGAATGATAAAAAGCAATGCTGAAATATCCCTGGTTATGAGTTATTATCACCCTACATATTGAGTCTAAGCTTTGCAAACCTCCAAGCAAGCTAGTTTCTTACACACTATAAAGCCAGTGTTCTTGTTTCCAAAAAGGCACAAGGTTGTTATCCTAGAAAACCATGTTTGTTCACATGGCTTGTGCCAGTTACAGAGGCTGTTTCTCAGTTTAACTCCTGCAGTAGCTTGCAATAATACATGAAAGCAGAGTTGTTAGCAGTTAGCCAACTCCTTATTCCCTCTGCATTTTTTCCTTACGTGAGATCCTTTCCTGCTGGTCTGTGTCATTTGTGGAGCTGCTTTCGTTGCACCTCCTTTTCTGTGATTATAGGTAGCTTCTCTGTTGGAGGCCTTGCTTGTAGATCTTTGTAGGTGAACTGGTGTTATCAGGATTAGCTGACATAAGGTCCCTGGTCCTAATCTGAAGGCTCTTTCTAAGCCCAGTCTGAAGGCTACCTAACTAGGCCTTAGTCCTTGCAGCCTTAGCAAGCTGTTTTCTGACCCTTTCCAGTTGTTTACAGCTATATGAAGTAAACAAGTTCTGGAAATGGAAGAAATGTGCGAGGTATGCAGGAGCTGTGGTGTGAGGAGTCCTGAGGAGAAAGAATAGAGCTTTGGTAGTGAAAGGTCCATTGCAGTCAATACTTTTAGGATGGCAGAACTGGCTGCACATGTAAATATGTAAGATGAGTTGTAAAATCTCATTGCCATCCTGAAGGAGAGATGTCTAGGCTCAGTAATTATAGCCTCACTTTGGAAGTACTGACGATGACTTGTGTGGGGAGAATAGCAAGCATGTAAAAAAAGCAAGCATGTCAGTAGAAGAATGTGAGAGGAGTATAAAAGCTGATTTATGCCAAGTATCATATTGGAAAGTTATTCTTACAGAATGGTGTGTTTTGGCTGCCAGAAACAGAATAATCCTGCCTTCAGCTCTGAGGATTTTGTGGTGCTTCCTCTATGAAGCTGACAAAGAGAAGGTGGGAGAAAGAGGCACAAACCAACGCTGCTGAAGTTAAAAACAAAAACAAGAACACCCAAAACAGGTAAGAGTGTGCTTGTAGCTGAAGTAGTAAATTACTGAGAAATACTCCTTACTGTTCCCTAGAAGTGTTTGGCCTTTGGTTACCTGCACATGATCCTGGAATTGCAGTCTTGAGTGAAGTTTCATGGACTTTGTCTTCAAAACCAGAACTTCGTGTATTACAAGGTTCCATGTGTTGTTATTTCTGCTTGGTATAGGGACAAAATAATTTAAAAGTTTACTGCAGTTAGGAAGCTCTTTTCACTGAAAAAGTAGGTGTGGGGGAAAAACCCACTGATTTTTAGTTACAGCAGCAGGTTATAGATTGTTTTGTTTTGCTTGTAAGATGTAAGCTGTTTGAGGGCCTGCAGGAGACCAGCTCCTAAATCATCACTGCCGACTGCTGGAAATCCAGTTTTCCAATTCATCTAGTGCAAAGGCTGGCTATGTGTTTGCTTAAATTATCTCTCAGGAATAAAAAATTGTAAGAGAAATAATGATCTTAGTAGCAGTTCATTGTTTTCTGGGTGTCTAAATGTGCTCTGAATCTACCTCTGAAAAGGTGGAGGACTGAAGTCCCATAATAGCTGAATATGTACTTCAGTGAGGACTATCTTTTCTGTTAATATCTATGGTGAGTAAAAACACAATGGCCGTATCCTGCTCCTTGTCAAAGAAAGGCTGTTTTTACTAAGAGTCCGGGGCCTGTGAAATTTGTTTCCCAGTTTCCATCCAAAATAGCAAGAATGGAGTGGTGATCTTGGTATGTCTGCACAAAACCATTGTACACATTTTTCTGTGATGTGAACAAAGTATCCTCTTTCTTTGTTTTCTACAGTGAAAATAATTTTTTAATTCCACATTATCTGCTAGTTAGATGTATTTCTATAGTAATGTGTTTATATAGATATAATTCATAGTAAATACTCTATAGTAAATTATGGTTGAATATAGTATAGTATTTGAACAGTGATTACTCCCACTATAGCAACATCAGAATTCATGACTACTATAACTCTTATTTATTTGCTTAATTTTGGGGGAAACCCCCCTACTTTCTTCTAATATTTCTCATCAGTATTTGGCTAGAGCTGTCTTGTGTGCTTGAAGTTGTCTGTCAAAACAGCAGACAGCTCTGTGTTCGTATCTCAGAGCTCTCTTGCTTTCACTGGCAATGGCAACTCTGTCCATTCTTGAATAACACACCAAGCCTAGTAGCCCTAAAAAACAAATTAATGATAAATATTTTCATATCCAGTTTCTGTGGGCACCCTTATTTATATGCACAGAATATACAGCAAATGAAGGCATATGTTAAGGATTGAATCAAAGGCAATTTAATGACTGAAGCTGTTTTTAGTGACGGTATCTCCAGAAAAAAATTAGGCAGTCTAACTGTTTGCTGCTTTTGACTCAGCCCTGCTTCTCTGTTGAAAGGTAACCGCTGAGTGGTTGCCAGTGTCCGATGCAGCTGAGGAGCCAGCACATACTCACTCCTAGAGTCCCTGCCAACCTTTGCAGAAACAGAAGGCTGGGATCCCTGACCTGGTACACTGCTCCAGTATGGGTCCCTGAGAGGGAACACTTACACAGTACTGTTTAAACCTCAGAGCAAGTGCTGAACTGATGTAGTAATGCCAACCTGTGTTAAAGATGCAAAGACAATCAGTGATCAAAATACCGATGTCCATGTTGAATTCTGTAACAGGTATTAAAATGACTAATACTAATTTACACCAGTATCATTTGTTAGTGTACTTAGTGGCTTCTGAAGCTTTTCAGGTTAGGACAAACCGAGCAGTTAAAACTTGGTTGTTTTCCAGGCCGAAAATGATTGGGGAAGTAGGAGACCTGCTTGTACTCAGTGACTGATCTGGAGGTAATTCTAACTTTAAGGGCATGTATGCTGTAATTTAAGGAAATTTAAGATGAACCTGGCCTACAGTTTGCTGTCATATGATGTTTCATGTTTTCGTCTCGCTGTCATATTACACAAGGAATTGAGCACTGAGATGCTCTGTTGTAAAATAAAGTGTTTACATGTTTATGCACACAGTGTTTTTCTTCTGCACAGATGGGGAAAAATTTTTTTTCCTATGCATTCAGATGTTGAAGTATAACATCTGATGGCCCACACTGGTATTCACAAGAACAGAGCTCTTCTACTTTTCTGCAAATACAAAAGCAATGAAAAAATATTTCTGAGGAAGGCCAATAAATATTTTGTTTAAGAAAAATTTGTTCTGTAAGCTGAGTGAAATTGCTGCCATTGTCCTTATTTTACCAGGAAAAAAAAGTGGAGTCCTGATTTCAGAATCAAATCTGCATCTCTCACTTTGTCCAAAATTTTAAAAGCATTTTGTTAAATACCTACATTTATGTTGCAGTATTTATTTAGTTTTAGCCTGCTATATCACTGTGCTCTACTAATTATTGTGCAACAAGATAACATTTGGAAGTAAAAGTTGTGCAGAATACCTATGGTTAAGACTCTTCCCTGCTATCGAAGACTGCTCTTTTCTGCTATATTTAATATGATGCCCCTTTATTCTCGCTAAGCAAATATGGGTGTGAAGTCCTGTAGGAATCTGGTCTTTTCAGTATAGTGCCCATGCGTACTTAATGTACTGTAGCTTAGCCCTTAGCCCTCAAACACCTTGAGAACAGGAAGGTGAAAAAGTGACAAAGTGCCTACCTGTCTTAGCTGAACTGAGTGCAGCTGTGCATGTAACACCACATCCTGCAGAGAGTTACCACATCTTGTGTGATGTCTTAAGCACAAAGACCTATGTTATTACAGCTGTAACTCCCTGCGTGCGCCTTATTCTAACCGCAGTGACTGTGGAACGGGGGTACACTACAGCTGCAGCTGCACAAAAGTGTGCTCGTTCTAAAAAAGAACAAAGAAGAATAGGAAGTACTGTCAGAACAACTGGTACTTCTTGGCTCTAGTGGCTGGCCAGGCATACAGGTACTTCTTGCATGCTGTTCCAGCCTCAAGCCTGAACAAAAAAATTGTGCACTATAAACACAGTTCACTCACTCTAGTATATAATTGGAATAATGAAGTCATTCAAGATGTAATGATCCAGTGATCAGAGGTCACATAACAAAGTAAGCGAACATAATTACTGAAAAGAGAGCATTGAATTAGAGTTGCAGAGACAGGATGGGAATGTAGTAATTTTTTTCTCCGTTATTTACATAGGATGTTTTTCTAATGCAGCCTTTGCAAAAAAGACACACATAGTATCCTGGACGTGGGCTTCTGTTACTGAACTAGCTGAGATCTTCTGACATAAAAGTAGACTAGCTACCTGATGAAAAAAGTTATATGTCTAGGACACCACAACTGGGATTGCTTAATGTACACATATGCATATAACAAGAGGAAGAAAATGTTTTCTTTTTCTACCAGGATTATAAAGACTATCTGAAACACATACTATAGGGAGAAAGTTATTTTCTGGAAACTCCAGGTCAGCTGTATGAATTTCTAATGGTTGAAAGGATCTGTAATCAATTCTGGTTAAAGTGTGTTCTTGTTAACATGTCTGGTACTTGACAAGGGTGGAAAAGAAAAGAATAAGGTCATTCTTTATGTGGCTCCATGGTAGCATATAATATGCAGAAATTATATCTACTTCTTCATGTAAGTTTGAGCTGCCTTATAGAAAAACAATATTCTGCTTGCTGTCCCTTAAGCCCTAGAAAGCAGAGAATCTCTTCAAGGCAGTATTTCTCATTCCAGCTCAGTTGTATAGTAAGAATTCACCAGAACTAACTTGTTTTTACTGTGTATCATATTCTAAAAAACCCCAACCCCTACTTATTTCAGCTCTTGAGTGTTTTTTGAAACATTGACATTTAAATAAGGTAGACATTTTCTTACAAGATATGTTGGCTTGTGATGAATACATGCTAAATGTTAACAGACATGACTCTTGTAGCCTTAGTCAAGAAATAGTCTGTGGAATACACTGATCATATACATTCATTTAGGAAACATTCTTCTTTATGTCCAACTAACTGTAATTTCTGTTGGCAGCTAGTAACATACAGTCTATTAGGGCTTAGAAAACTAGCAGTACAAGGATGATTCTGTTCAATGTTGGGGCTAAGTACATAATATCATGTTGATGATTTACCTTTAGCTGTTTATTATTCAAAGTGTGGTGGCTTACATATAGATGGAAGAAAAAATTAGTAATGAATTCTAGCATAGAGAGAAGACCAAGGCTGAAAGTATTTGGACTTGGAATGTCACTGTTTTCAGATGCAAAGTCTCAGTAAATGAAATAAGTTCTTTTTGTACATTGCTGTTGAAAACTTTTAATATTAAAACATTTTAAGTCTTTTTATAAACTGATAAAAATGTATGGAATTTCCACAACTAATTAAACCTTAAGCATGCCCATGAATGGAAAAAATCAAACTTGCCAAGTTTAATCAAAACAATCTTTCCAACTGCAGACCATATAAAATCAATGTGTTGCTTGAAACTTTTGCTATATTTTCTCTATTCTATTTTTATGCTTTTTAGCAGCAGTAGAAGCTAAAGGAGCCAAATGTGTCTTGGGAACTTTTTGTTGTTTTAGTATAAGGCATGATATCTAATCAGCTCAGTGATACTAAACAGCCATAGAAGTCCTTCTTTTAATTTAAGCAAAATGGGATGCAAAAGATAAATTTAAAAGCTATTGGGCCTCTGTATGTACTATGCCACCTATTGTACAGCATACATGTATTTTGCATTTTATTGTGTGTTGCTCTTTCTTTGTGCATGTGTAGTTATACCAGAAAGAAAAGGTACAAGGCCGGCCTCATGGTCTGCTGATTGTAATTTGAGAAATGTGGCAAGGCTGCCAAAGTTTACTTAATACCCTGGAAAGTTCTAAGCAACAGAGGCTCTAGAGAGTTCTTGTGCCCTGCTTTGACTTGATGAGAGGTTTTGTGGCATTCAGTCAAAACCCACAGGTCATCACACTTGTCCACCCAGTTGAACAGTCACACTAGAGAGTGGTGCTAGGAAAGGAGTGAAGAATAAGGGTTAATAAACACTATCTACAGGTAGATACAGGGAGAAGTGGAACAGTCTTGGTCATATGATGACAGTAAAATTGAAATTTACTCTCAGGAGGAGAGAGGGGGACTAAGGAATGATAGAACATTATTTACAATCAGAGCATTCATTTGTGTACTGTTTTGGATTCATCTTCCACTTGGTTTATTGCTTGAATATGTGAATTTGAAGTTTTTTATTTTAAATTATGAAATGAACTTTAAGTATCAAAACAGTTAGTTAAATATGACTATAACTTGTTTTGAACTGTTTGGCATTGGGGTTGGGGGAGTATATTCCAAAATATTTGTTGACCAGCACAATTCTTCATTGCATTTAGAGAAGATTTTTGATTATTCTGGGTGGTCTTTGTGGTTTGGTGGTGGGGTTCATTTGTTATATAATTTGATTTCTGAAGAATGAGGCAATGCTGACATCTCCATGATTCTACAAGGGAAAATTTAGGGAGCTGGTTACTTCAGGGTGTTCTTACTTAAAAAAATAGTGCTGCTCCAGAAGTGTCTTGAATAACCAGTTTAAACCTTTGATTAGTAAAAGTTGGATTATGTAATTATGTGAATTTGTCCTTAGAGAATGTTGGAGATATAACTATGTATAAAAGGTTTTATTTATTTATTTATATGGCTAGCAATAAAGGCAAGACTTTATTACTTGCTGCGTTTCCCTTAAGCTGCTTATTGAGAACTGTCAGAAAGGGCAGCTGGCAAAAAAACCCCCATGGAAACTTGGAAAAACTTTAGAAACCTGTATCATCTACAGCACACTCTCTTTCTGTTCTACATCTCATTTTTTATCCATACACATCCATTTAGTTTTTAGCTTAGAAATTTAAAAAAATTGGATGCAAAGAGAATATAATGATAAAGAATTAAATCTTAAAAATGAACTTTATTGATACTTAAACTAAATCATGTTTGCCACAGCCTAAATGAGTTTCAAATCCAGTAGCCCTGACAGAAGTCAGTGTACAGGATACTTTGATGAGGATAGTAGTGTTGTCTTTTCATAGTAGTTATCTATATGCTTCAAGTGACTAAACCAGAAGGAAGTGACAAAGTAACTTTACAAAAAGCTGAAGTACGAACAGAGCCATAGTAAAGCCAGAAAGTTCTTCTGTTACCATCATCTTAGGGAGGACACTACTGTGAAGCACTTTTTTTTTTTTGTCCTACTAGTCTGTTCCTGTTAACAGAAATAAGAGAGAAACTGTACATTAACAGGAATAAAGAATAAACTGTACAAATACCTATGGTTGGTTATTTTGGATTAGATTTTTAACAGTAGGACCCTTGAGCATGTAACCATGACCTCATTCTCCAGGAAGAAGGTAGGAGGTGGGAACTGAAGTTAGTTAAACATACATGCAAAAACTGACCAAAACAGAGTTTGTATTAAAAAGTCACAAAATACCAAAATTTTGACTTTTTTTTTTTTACTGTGATTGAGTTTGAAGTTTGCTTTGGGAAGGTCTATTTTATTAAAAAATAGATGCAATACATTCTCTTCTTTCTCAGATTAATACACCGCAAAACCACAAAGCAATAGAGGAAACCCTGAACATAGGGGAAGAAGCATTTTAATACCTCAAAGTTACTAGAATCTCTTCCTTTTATTTCTTTCAGCCTTCTTTATAAAATAAATTACCTGTAGCTTAGAACCTATTTACAAATTTATAATACTATGCTACAGTGACTAGTCATGCCAAATCTAAATATATGGAGAGCAGGGAAAAAAGTCGATCTGACAAGTTGTCAGCAGCATTTTATTGAAAACATGAAACATTTCAATGAACTCCTAAATGCAGCAGACATTTTGTTGTCTTCTGTAATTTTTTTTGTCTAGTTGAGAAGCTATGAAAAATATTACCATTAAGAGTGGAAATTCTATTAAGTTGTATGAGGAGACATTGCAATGTACAGTGTTCATTATTAAATTAAAAAAGGCACTTGCTATCCTGCTTGCCTAAAGATTATATAAAAAAACCAAACAAAACACCCAAAATGTCTGCAGAGAAAGGAAGAGTGGTAATACCAAAAGAGGTTAAGTATGTCCACAGAATACATTCATACTTAAAGAGACAATAATAAAGTTATGACCAAATAACTTAAGCAGATGCTTCTATAGTGTAACTTAAATTTTGAAAGTCAATGAAACACTGAGTTTGAAGTCCTTGATTTATTTTTTTTTCTTATTTAAAAAAGAAAAAAAAAAAAAGACAAAACCCAGACAAAACAACTAAAGCAGCTCTTCAAAGTTCTCTTCGTCTGGGCACCACCACCAGTGCCACAATATAGTAATCCATACGAGGGCAGGAGCAATGTAATTCAAGAAACCTATCCTGCCACCAGTTCTTGATTTTTTTTCTTAACAGTTGACTAGACAATAATGCAACCCCAAAGCAAAATGAATAATCATCAGGTAAAACTGTTTGTCTTTCAAATAGACAATGCCTCATTGTGTTTCTGCATTGCAGAGTGGTTTGAGTGCATATTCAGCCATAGGCTGAGTGCCACATTCAAAAAGTGTTTGAAAAGAGATGGAAAAATATAAGGAACCAGTAAACGGGTAGGCAAAAGTGATAGAAGTCCACATTTCTGGTCAACTCCAATGTTTGACTAGGAAGAAGGTAGTTGGTATATCAGAAAAGGGACATGCAGAATTCATTTGCAGAAACATTGAATGCTTCCACCAAAGCCAAAATGCTTTCATCTCCCCACAGTTTAACAGAATTCATACAGTCGCATATGCCCATGAACTCAAACTAGTTTTCATCTCTTTTGTCCTGTCATGAATGTAATCAGCCTTATATTTTCCTCATGGTGTCTTCTATATTCACAGCTTCAGAATATTTTTAATTGTGTTTACCTCCAGTACCACTTAGAGTTCATCCTGGTGACAAGAAAATAAACAATTAAGTTATTCTGAAAGTACAGCTAAAAATCAAGATTATTGGGGTTTTTTTTCTGTGATTTTAAATTTCAACTGGACAAATGTTTGTTTAAATAGAATTCAGGGTACTTCTTAACAGGTGTATATTAATATCTTCTTTCTAAATTAAAATGTCAGTCCCAGTCTTGCACTAATCAGCCTCTGTAATTTGGTGCCAGCTTGCTAAATCTAGTCTAAGGATTATACTTAAGGATACGGTGAATCTCAACCATTTAACACAGCTGTCCCATGGACATGGGCGTGTCCCATCGATATCTATGAATTCTGCTAAGTCTTGCCATAACTGACATTGCAACTGCAGTATTCTCTGCTACATCTGTAGACATGGAGAACTGAGTTTGAATAAATAATAGTAACCAAAACAAGACTGGGAGTAAAATGTATCTTCAAATAGTACCAGGTACAAGACTTAATACTTCATGGACAAAGAGCAAATACTAACATCATTTTAAACAGCTATTCTTTCTAACAATATAACTCTTCTGCAGAAGGCCCCACAGTAAGTATTCTTACCTTATTTCTAGATTTTTTTCTTTTTCCTTTATTTTGAATTGCTTCTAATTTTTCATTCAAAAGGTCAGCAATACCTTTTGCGTCTCTGCTGTCTATGTATTCCCCAAGAACATTTTTCTTAAAAAAAAAAAAAAAAAATATTGTGTAACATGTTACTCATGCTCTACTCTGAATAGAAAATCTGCTTACTTTCAGATAAAATTCAAAGGAAATGCAGGGAGAAAGACAATGGCTCTGGTAGGTTGATTTATGATTCATAAATATATTTTTGTCTCTGTTTAAACAATGCTAATTGTCTTTACAGTAAGAACCACTCTTAGCTGCTAGTTTTCAAAACTACACGTTTTAAACTACACAAATCTTATCCTGATCCTTAAAGAAACCTGAAATAGTTATCTTCTCACATTTATTCCGCTAAGTATTTAATGTAGAACTTCCCATAAGAGATTCAGTTAAAAGAAAAGTATAATTAAAAGAATTGGCTTAACTATCAGAATGCATTGAGTACTTTCTCTTCAACATTAATACATTTAAAAAGATGACTGTAATATTCTTGAAATTTAATAGTTTTACAAGAATAAAGGCAATTTCCTAGAAGTATGTGGATACTTTCAATTTATTACTACTAATCTGTTAGTAGGAAGTATTGATCTCAGAGTCACACTGATAATTAATATGGTTTGATAAGGGTTGTTTTTGAGACAGAACACAACTAAATATTTTTTATCAATTTTATATCTTAAAATACACTGTCAAAATTATAATGAAATGCTATGATTACATTAAAAGAATATTTCTCCTTAGCCAAAATGAAGTTGTCCACATTCATTTAGAGAGACTTTGCCTGCTTTTGGTAGCTGGTGGTAGAATTGGTAAAAGTTGAAAAACACTTTGTCACATGAGACCCCTGCAAAATTAAACCCTGGCTCTGGTTAAGCCCACATTTTAGTTACTGTTCTACTAATCTACAATTCATTATTTTTCAATAACACATTATTACTGTATCATTGTCCTACTATTTTAAGTATTACTGAAATTGTTTATTACTGTATCTCCAGAATATCTAAATAATGCACTTTAATACATTATAGAAGTAGTCTCTTAAGTCTTAATGTGAAATAAAATACATCTACTAACAGTACCCACTCACCAGTGTACATAAAGGAGACACTTTACCTTTGTTCCTTGGTAGGGGTAAAACTTAACAGTAGGGTAGGCTCTGATATCAGCAGTTTGACAGGTCTGAGCATACGCCTGACAGTCTACTTTTCCAGCTTTTACTTTTCCTTTAACAGTCTAAAAAGAAATGTTTATTAGAAACAAACTTCAAGTTCCCATGGGTGACTGTAAGCAAATAACTTGAATAAGCCAGCAGTGCAGCTAAAAGTAAATGAAAAATGTGGCTCAAATCTTTTAAATATCTCAGAGTAGTTGCTTGCTTCTGTTAACCTTGTATCAGAAGTCACAACATGTTCAGCAGAGCACTTCTACTTGAATTCAGGGCAAGCACATCACAGTTCCAAAGGTCACCCCATCATAAGCTGAAATCTGCCTCAGAAGAGGGTCTGTGTGTGTGTCTGTGCAAGAGACAATACCCAGTGGCAAGTGGGACCTAAAACTGTGGACTTTCACTGAGGAGGCTCATTGAGGGTATGCGATTTTTGGATGATTGCTAAGAAATAAAGTGCTGATTAATTATATTTTAACTATTACAACAATCTGATAATACAGTTAAAAACCTACCCTTGCAAGGATCTCAAATTCAGGAGCAAAATTTTGGCAAGGTCCACACCAAGGAGCATAAAAATCAATGACCCAGTGATCTTTTCCATTCAGAACTTTTTCTGTGAAACTCTGAGGAGTCAGGTCTACAGACAGTTGTGGTAAATATCTGTGGAAAGGAAGAATAACAGTCATAATTCATTCAAAACTTTAAACATATCCAAATTCCATTTAAGCATAAGAAAAATTTCTGGAATTAAGAATATTAGTAGTCTGGAAATCTCTACTTTACACTTTGTACTATAAGAGAATCCCTTTTTAAGGTGGTAGACAAAATAATAATATGGTCTTCAGAAAATGGGTTGACAGCAAGGAGTATGCTATTTCTCCATATTTTAAAAGCTGAAGTTAAAAGATGTGGAAACTTTAGCATCTTAAATTAAGCAACACATATATCTGAGTGTTTCTAATTCTTGATTTACATAGCATTTAAATATTAATTTCTCCTAGCAAGCAAACCATGCTAGCAGCTTGTGAACCAAGTTTAATGCAGTAACTTACCCCAGTGCCCAGCCTCTCAGTGAATATGAATCTCTGTGCCATCCATTGTAGCTACTATAAAAAGAAAACAAAAATTCAGTTGCACAGTAGTTTGAATTACGTTTGAAAAAAACACTCTGTAGAATGGAGATGATGAAATAATGAACTTAAATGCATATGTTTTAGGATATATTTCTACCCTAGTTTCAAATCTGTCTCGTTAATACAATTCAAAGATACGGAATTAAGGACTAGAAGATGAAGAGAAGAAAATTCTATGTCAAGAGAGTAAGAAACTTGGTTTGGAGCACATAAGCTTTGATAGCTAGAACTATTTTGAACGAAGGATCTTTGGTAATAACTCCAGATAAAAATGCAGCCTCTAAGAAACCTGAGAATTACATTGAAATACCTTAATATATTTTCTAATTGATGTTCATTCATTACACTAAAACAGCTATTAGTTATATACATTTCCCTCAATTTGACAGTAGAAAAGCCAGGCAAACTGGTTACTTGGACAAGGATTTATTATTTGGACTTCCAGGGCATTGCTTAATTTTGAAATTCTAGTGACAGGTTAGAGAAAAGATTAATTCAGGATTCATATCCACTAACTTACAACTTTATAACAAAGTATTTTTCAACAGTTACCTGGTCAAAATCTGCCTTGTTAGTTTTTGGTGATCTTTATTTTAAAAGACAAATTTCCATATTTTTGCAGGAAATAGCTGACTCATGATTAGGAATTTGGCGCTTAACAGTCATATTCACCAACTTAGTTGTTTTCAACAAGAAAAAAAAAATCCTGATTTTAAGAGAAACTTTTATCTAGAAGAACTGAATAAAGGCAAGCAATCCAATGATGAAAGCTACTGAAGTCTGCTATTATGCCCTATGATGAAGAGGCATTACAATTTATTATCTGCCAGTATTTCATAGAACTTTCCAATTTGTAAAATAATGAAGAAACATATTTGCTATTTCAGATGGTTATCTATCTTTAAATATGCATGTGCTTCCTGAAATGTCTGGATCTTCAAACAGTACTGTGAAATGGAGGGGACAGGCTGTTTGGTTTTGGTCAGATTTTATTTCCCCATAGAATTTTTGTTGTTGTTGTTAATGATTAACGTTTCCACACTAATGATACAATGAATGGGATTAGATACATGATGGACAATTTTTGTAATGGTGCTAACAAGCTGTTGGCAGGGAGGAGGATGATCAGATGGCTATATCACTTTGTTCTCTAAAGGTAGAGCTGCAATCAATTAGGCCTAGTAGTATTTTTATATTGCATAATTTAAATAATCTACTTTAACAGGCAATTAAAGTCAGAAAACTGGCAATCAAGAACAAGAAATAAAAATTAAGATTTCTGAGGCTGGCTAAATTCAAATTACTGAGATGAAATGGGAAAATAAAATGACACTTGTTTGAAGTAACAAAGTCAATAACATCTAAACAGTAATATTGTAATGGCCTATTTTAAGAGCTGTGATGAACCTTTTCTACAGAACAGAAGATGTATATTCATCTTGTTCCACATCATCTAACATCTCCCTAAATGAAGTAAACTACTTACTAATAATGATGAGCTGTGTTTGATTTTTGAGGGAAGAGTCTTATTTCAGGATATCCCCGAACACTTTCTTGGTGACAGAAAGAATAATATTTTTGACAATCCACACTGCCTACACTGATTAATCCATTTAGCATCTGAAAAAAGAAGAAAACCTACAATCAAATATGCTAATCAACACTACTACACTCTCAGTAATACTTCAGAGTTTAAGTCTTAATCACTTAGTTGGGGAAAAAAGTCCAACAAAACAAACCAAGATTATCACAAGGCTTTCTTCTTTCCTGTAAATGGGTCACTGGTATCTAATGGGAGCCAGCCACCCAGGTGCATTCCAATCATGCACATATATTTTAGTATAAGCTGCATGCACATGGCTCATGAGGCGCCTACCTTGCCTCAAAGGTACATACGAGTGTGATTATTTACTATAAGGATTATCATATTACCATGTTTCATACCATAGGTTCAGTAATTATGACAGATCCTGGTGCAGTGCAGATGTGCTATCAGTTGCACAGTTGGCCTGTGTCTTGAACACGCTGTATTTGTTGGAAAGGCCCAAACCACCTGGCATGGGCAAGGGAAGCTGATGATTACTGAACTTGTACTATAAAGCTACTAATACTTTGCAGACATTTGACCAGAATATAGAACTCCTAGTCTAGGTGAGTTCTAAATGTCTGAAAGTCAGTCATGGACTTGTTTCCAAAGCCGTATTTTTTTTTTGCCCAAAGTTTCTAGTTCAAATTCCTGGAAATGTGTCCAGGAAAACCCAGATGGTTGTCTGTAAAGTAATATTACTTTTGCAAATGAGAGAACGCTGTAATGACCTTGCAAAACAAAAACACCCTCCCCAATCCCAGCAATTCCATATTGAAGTATGTGTAATTCAGCTAACTGACAATCAGCCTTAAAATGTATAGTATTTAACATTTATTTACTTTCAGTGAAGAAAACAAGATCTCAGAAAAATTCTTCCTAATATAGGAAATAATTAAGATGGATAAGACTGAATTCCTTTAATCTGAAATTCAAGTCAGAGGTTTCACCAAGGTCTAAGTGCTATCTTAAAGATGACTAATGATCATAAAGAATACTGAGAATAAAGTTCAAATTATTTCAACCAATTCTTATCCAATTTATGGATAAATTTTTTTTTCATATTTTGTTTTAAACAAATGCAGAGCTGTTTTCTATATAAAGCACTAAGCATCAAGGAAAGTTAGTTACTCTAAAGTTTCTTAGATCTTAGAAAACACACTTGTATGAACAGGAAAAACTGGATTACAGTATCAATGTACTGAATCTTTTAAAAAAACAGAGAAAAACTTTGCATTTGAAACAGTATAAAACTGTCAGGTAGGAATTCCCTGTTTTATCTCCAGTATTAATCACTAGACTTTCTAAGTTGACAAATCTCTAAGATAGCAGTTGTACCATCTCAATAATTCCACAGAAGAGGACACAAAAGCAGAAAAATGTTTAAGTGTCATTTACCCTGGCCATTTTTTTCCATTCTGGCATTAAAGCCTGACAAGGTCCACACCATGGAGCATAGAAGTCAACCATCCAGATTTCCTCTCGTTTTCTTTTCTGAACGAATTCAACAAATGTCTCTGGTGTTAGGGAGAGCACCGATGGATTCCTAAGATCCTAAAATAAAGACAGTTTATAGACACATACTCTGCAACAGTAAGTTATCCATATCTAGCGCCACCACATACAAACAGAGTGTACCAAATTCTGCGAATGTCCCTCTTTTAGTGAAATTTGCTTGCTGCTGTGGCAGGGAAGACTCCACACCACTGAAAGGCATGGAAGCATTAAAAGTCATCCTTTCAACCAAACAATCATATGCCTGATTTGCTGAGAAAAACTATCAAAAAATACAGCTAGGCTGCAAAAAGGAGGTTTTCTGCCTCTTCTCCATAAAGGGAGGCAAAAGGCAAGAAATTCAGCTTACCTGGCAGGAACAGGCATTATGACACTCAGCCATGCTATTTAGGCTGGGATGCAGAAGAATACATATGGTATATTAGGGGCCTCTGAATATCAACTGAAAAAGACTGATCTCCACCTGTTCCTGCCTGTGTGCTCTTACACTTGCTTTTTCTGGGCTACCTAGTGAGAATGAACAGTCTGTACAGCCTGCAAATCTAGCAGTGAGAACCTGAATGCTGGAGGAAAGACGGGTGCCAGAACTCTGGCAGCAACAATGATGAGTACCAATGATTTGCAGTTCTGTGAGTTAAGAAAGTTCAAGAAACAGCTGAGAAGTGTGGAGGGCAGCAAGCTAACCGACAAAAATGTGAACCTCCTCCTATGTCAAGGTGTGTTAGTGAGGCATTTTCACCTTAATATTACATCACTTCATACTTGTAATTCCTTTATCCTCTGTCTGAGATAGATAGAAATCATTACTATTACTTTGCAGATTAGAAGGTATCTTAAGTTATTTGCTAGTGATCTCAAAGAAATTACTTGACAGAGTAGGGAAATTAATCCATTAGGTGTCAAGTCCCAGACTTAGAGTTGCTGGATCACTTTTCTTGCTCAAGGTTTTTTCACTCTTTATCTTACTAGTCTAATTAATAAAATAAAAAATAAAAATCTTAGAATCTTCCAAGTAAAGACATGTTTGTGGATGAGCTGCCTACAGAGCATGACTGCAACAAGGATTATGATTTACATACCTCTATAAACTCCAAGATCTGCTCAGCGGAGTGATGTCCTTCATATTCATGAACATCAGACTGATTGAACACAACTGTTGTTGGATAAGCTCGAATGTTATGCTAACAAAACAGACAATAAGAAATTGCAAGGAATTATTACGTTTCTTGTACTTTCCTTCAACTTCTGTTGGTATTGGTGGCTCACAACTGCTAGTCTATCCAGTTTGTACAGTACAACTGCTCAGACTTACATGCAGATGGGAGTTTGAAACCATTACAAATCAGTACAGAAAAGATGCCAATTGTATTCAGAGATGGCATAGTTTGCTCTGAATTTAAAAACCAGCCAGTAGTTCTTTTACAATGCTCCACAAACACAGGAATTAATCCACGGGCCTTCTAAGCCTTAACTTTAAAGCTATTCCCAGTCTCCAGGTGGAAATGCTTGTACTGTATGACTAACTGTATTGTTTACTATTGAACACAGATGCTTCCGTGACTTGAATTCTTCAGTGTGTAAACACATCTAAATAAAACTTTAAAAATATTATCCTTTTTTGCTCATTTTTCATGTGTTTTAAGACATTCACATTTTAAAGATAACTACATTCTAACATAAAAAGCTCTTGTGAACAATAAAATGTGCAGGTGCAGGAAAGCTGTCAAAATGTAGTATTTTCTGGGATTCAGGAAAAGTAATGTCAATAATTTCTACCATGATAAATTCATTGAAGCAAAAGTTAAAGCAAATTTAAACATTGAAAATTGGTCAAAATTAAAAAAAAAAAATTCATGCCATTACTGTATCTTTAAATAAGTGTAAACTGGTAAGTAATAAACTTTCTTTTAATTTGAAAGTGATCCTGCACTTCTTAAGTGCTACAAAACAAAAAGCACAGTCAGTTAGGGTGAATTGAATTAGAAGTGGTTTTGCAGACATCTCGAAAAGGTGTTATATCAATGTAAAACTTAATGTTTTACTGTTTTTTATCCTCCTAGGTGAAGGACAAAAAGAATGTATGTATGTATTTACATACACATTAGAAAAAAATTTCTGGCTCTGCTTTAATTCTTTTTTTCTCTTAAAACCCCCAGGGATTATTAAATTCTGATACTTCCAGAGTCTTCCACTAACACTATGAAATCAGAGAAAAATGTGACCTGTATTTTGCATTAATATATTATCTGTAGCGGTTACATAGCTTGCTCCTTTGAAAAAAATTGATATATGTGTCATTTTCGGTTTACTACCCTTTAAGCAAGTAATATTAAAGAACAAGCATTGTCTGCAGCCCTCCCTAGAAGAAAATAATATTCTTTGAAAGGATTGGTTTGGGTTTTTTTATTTTATTTTTAGTTCCTGCAGCTTACCATGTTGCAAAGCCCTTCATGGACAGTACAGTCTAGCGTTCCAAATTTAAGCTGACCATAAAGATGTTTTGATGCTTTTCTCAGCTCTGGTAACAAAGCTCGACAAGGAGGACACCACTAGAAAAAAAAAATGCAAGTAAGTGCAATTGCTTTCCCACCAGTTGGCTCTCAGAAGAATGTAAGCTGTTTGAGATTAATGATACACTGCTTTGACAACAGACTCCACTCAATACGAAACCCACACAGTCTAGGAACTAGTGCTGCCAAAGAATGGGAACTTACAATACCATCTCATGATGCTGAAGGACACTTTCAAGATACTGCTAGTATTCTGCTACATAGTTACATAACAAATTTTAGAAGAAAGGAAATGTAGATATTAAATATTTACCGGTGCAAAGAAATCCACAAGCCATGGTTCCTTCTCTTTGTCAGGAAAATTCTGAGGTCCCAGTGTGATAACATGAGAGTTGACACTTTCTTTGGCAAATGCAACAATGTCATATAAGATCTTCTTTCCTTCAAAGAACAATGTAGAAAGGAAACTATTTTTCCCTATGAGAGATCTCATTAAAAAACTCAGTGACAGCAACAGGAGTCCTTCAGTTCCCTTGACTCATCTTTAAACACGGCCTGATTAAATAAATTAAACAGGTACCGGCTTGCTTTTTCTCAGGAAGACCATGTTAAACTGTCCAGACCTACATAGGTAAGACATGCTCTAGGTGACAGTTGATATTTGGCTAAATATTAAACTGGATATTTACCCAATATTAGCCAAATAAATGTTTTATGCAAGACAAAACATGTTTTTGTCAAACAAAATTACTGTTTTTTTGTGACTGGACTGTTGGCTGTTTTACCATCTTACTAGTGTTTGCTGGAATTAAAAAGTTACTATTCTAGATACACTTGCCTTGGCAAAGGTATTGACACAGTAAAGACTTCAAGCAAAAGAAATTATATCAATAAATCACAGCCTTTTAGGTGTAACTGAAGTTCCTGCTGACACAGCTCTAAGTGGGCAAAGATCAAGTCTCTTCATACCCTTCATGTACATATTTGTTAGCAGAAATGAGAGTTTATGTCTTGAACTGAGACTAAGAACTTCAGGGTAATTAAATCTGAAGTCACTGCACAATTACTTACTAAGATTTATTACTGTTCTTAGATTTTAAACTCTTGAAGCCCTTTGACATAGCATACAAAAAAGCCTGATTCTTTCAAGTATTACATTGTTATAAACATATAAAAATATAATAAATATAATGGAGATGACTGTTCTCAAACGTTCCAGATGTCATCTATTTTGTAAATAGTAAACCAAACCATTCAGAAAAGAATGTACGTAATGTAGTCCAACGTATTTCTCTTACACTATTTGTAATCTATGCCATTAGAAAAAGATCTAAGAATGTTGTATGTATATGACCCTTTCCTAGCTTCTCTGCAGGAGTGGAAATTGCAAGGAGTATATAAGGCTTTTCCCAGCAGCAATCATTAGATGTATGGGATCATCTTTCCCCCTTAGATACAACTAATCTTTTCTAAGTGGTCAAAAACTTTTCTCCTTGCTTCTTTATTACAGTACTGCGGTTCTGACTTAATTCTAGCAAGCTGTTTCTAATACTTCAGAAGCTGAAAAATGAGAACTTCATCTTGCATAATTGCCTTGTGCTGCATTCTGGATAAAGCTGCACCTATTGCTGGAAGCTACAGTCTTGCTTCAGGCTCCATTCTTCAATTTTGAATCCTTTCAGTGGCACACAGCAACATAGTTCTAGCCTTTCCTGGAAGGAAACTGCTACTTCGGAAATGAAAGTAAGTGGTAAAAGTCTCAATATAGATTTTCTTGGATGGAAGTCAACAAAACATGGAATTAGTTTTAGTGCAGTGACATATAAAATCAAATCCAAGTTTCTCAAGTTGGCAGCACTGTGTAAGTAGCATGTTAAGCCTCTATGAAGGGCGTGCCTTACAGCATTCTTTGGTTTTCCTACCCAAAGCAGAAGCTGTCCTGATCAGCTTCAGAGATTTCATTTGAATGTAATTATGTAAATGACATTGAAATAGACAGGATAGTAAAGACAAAATACATCTCTTGGCATCTGTTGACTGCTTACCCAGGAAAAAAAGAAAAAAAACAGAGGAAATTATAAGTTTGTGCAAGGCTACAGTAAGGCCAGAGGAAAAAAAGCAAATATTACAACTATGAAACTCTTCTTTGGGAAAACAAATGCAATTTGCCAAAGATAGTGTCATATCAAAGTGATTATGTAATGATTTAAACTTGCCAAAGTTTCCCTTACCATGATGAATTTCATAATCTCCAGTTCCTTTTCCTTTGAAGACTGCTAAACAAGGCTGATAGACATATAGTTTGTTGCAGATGCTTGGTGAGGAAAGACAGTCAAACTTGCCAACCTATTTAACAGACAGTGGCATTTTAATATAAGGCATCCTAATTTATATAGATTAACATATTTTGAAAGGCAGTAAGAGTTAGGAAAAGAAGGTAAAAATACAGAAAAGTAGTAAGCTTTTTATAAACAACAGAGGTCTTAAGACAAACTATGATGTTCGAGTGAACATCAGGAGGAAAACTAATAGCACAGCTATATTAGGTTGCTTGTTAATTTTTAATTTAAAGGCCAAAATGGGGAATAAAACCTTAAAGTATCCTCTTCTTTTTTTCCCTCCAAATAAAATAGCAGGGAAGAAAAAAGACACCTAAAATAAACATGACATTCAAATTCTTCTAGTCAATGCAACAGTTTTTTTTAACATACCGTGTAGAATAACACAATCCATATGTCTTCAGTACAAAGTTTGAATTTGGTTTCTTTTTATTAAGAAAATTTTTGAGACAATTATAGGATTTTCTGAATAATTAAAATACAGCTTCACATACATCAATCTGATGTTGAAGTGTTAACTTTTAATTGTTAACTGAATGGGATCTGCATTTCCCATGACAAAGCAGATTTAAAAGATAATCTTTCCTCACTACTTTTAAATTATTCAAACTGTATGGGAAACTTCATTGCTTGCTTTAAATTAAAAAAATTACTATAGATCTACCATATGATAGTATGTCTCTTTCAGTACCAGAGGTGGCAGGTTGGTAGTAACAGCTAATAATGAAAAACATACTGACTTGTTCTCTGAATGTAAACAGTATTTAACACTAGGTGAGTGAGCAGTCTTACCTGAATATGTTCATCTTTAAGTAAAAATTTAAGTTTCTTAAATTCCTGTACATTTGATTTACCACTCTCCCCAAACTGGAAGAAAAGCAGCCATCGGTGATGAGCCAGACGGTCCTTTAAACAAAGGAAAAAAACCCCAAAACCACAACAAAAACACAGAAAAAAAAAATTATTCCAAACTTCTACCAATTTGTAAATTCCTTTTATGCTTTATAAAAGCAAATGCCCAATTATTCATCTGATCTCTGAGTGACCTCCTCCACTCAAGAAATTCTTTCATGTAGTCCTTCCACTAAACTTCCTTTTACTGCAGCGGAAGTGGGAAAGAGGAAAAAATCTGAAAACAAGCTGGCTACATGCTACCCTCTATACTTTTTGTTTCCATGTTTTCTTGTAGATCAAGCTTCTAAGTGCTACAAGCGTGAAAAGAGGTTTCCTCCTTTTTTTTCTTCTAAGACACAAGTAACTTTTATGACTTCTAATTTCAGTTCATACATAACTTATCATGGATTAGAGAGTATTATTTTCTTTCTTACATCACTGACAAAATATATTTAAAACAAAATTCTCTACAAAGAAATTGATTTAAAAAATAACTAGAAAGTTACAGTTGCAGAGTGAGGTGCAATGGCAATTTCTGTGGTTTTCTATCTTCCTATTAAATACATCCCCCTCCCCCTTACTTTTTTTGTTTTGCTGAACAACAAAAGTAAACGTAGACAAACAATGTTAAAATGTTAAATAATTTTGGCTACAGAGAAAAAAAAGGTCATTTTCAGCTAAGTACTAGGTTGTTGTATCAATAGGATTTGAAAAATCCTAAAAGTAACAATAAAAATATATTACTTAAAGAAATATTAACACATTTTTTAAATTTACCTCTAATGATGCTGCAGAGATAATTTCAAAGTCTGGCAGATGCTGCATTACTTCCTGATATATTTCTCTGGCATCCAAGGAGTTAAGAAACTAGGAAGGAAAGTTAACAGTGTTTATTATAAGGAATTACAAACATCAACCTGATTGTTGATGATTAGTACTCAAAGCAACAGGGAAATTATTCTGATTTGTTCCTTTCCATCAACTGAAGAGTACAGTTAATATGTTATTTGATTGACTTCATATATATAATTTCACAAACATCACTCTCTGAATACTGCTTTTTAAGTTGTTTTCCTACAATATTAAACTCAAGATACAGTATTTTGTCAAAATGGAGGCTGAAAGTCTCAAATTCAAATTTCATGCCGAATTTTACAATCAAGTTCACAAGATTTCCAATCTAGTCTTACAGCCTTCCTTAACTGCACCATACAGATATTTAAGTTTCAGTAGTTTTTAATATTTATGAAGTAATATGCATCAGTAACTCAGAGTTGGTAAGTTACAAGGTTGAAAGTAGGTAGGTTACAAATTTAATTTCCTCCTTTTAAAGATACAGATACAGTAGCGACGATAAAGGAACAAGCCCTGCTTCAAGCTATGAATGTCTCCCATCAATTAAGGAAGTTAAAACTATCATACAAATGTAGGAGGAGGTTGCAATATTACAATAAAGCTGAACAACATAATCCGTACCAACAGACATCATAGGAGTACTTCTATCACACATGTCAGCACTCCATTCAGAGTAGCATTTCTCAAACTTGATACCTATGGCATATTCTTTCTGGAATGAAAAATTGGGGGGAATTTAGGTTGGAAAAGACCTTTAAGGTCATTGAGTCCAACCGTAAACCTAGCATTGCCAAGTCTACCACTAAACCATGTCCCTAAGGACCCCTAAGTCACCTGCAGGGATGGTGACTCAACCACTTCCCTGGGCAGCCTGTTCAGTGCTTAAAAACCCTTTCGGTGAAGAAATCTTTCCTAATATCTAATCTACACCTCCCCTGGCGCAACTTGAGGCTATTTTGTCTTGTCCTATCGCTTGTTACTTGGGAGAAGGGACTCCCAAGTTTCCCCAGGATAGCTGGGTGGCAGGTCTTGGGCCCGTCACGGAGCACATCCTACCCCTGGATTCCCACAGCTGCTCAGGAAGGCTCCTGAGGAGGTGGCTAGGCAGTGCCACAGGCTGCTGCTATTGCAGCATGCTCCTGTCCACTCTCCCAGCATACCAGCAAACCGGGGACCACCTCCAGGGATCATTGCCTTAGAAGCCAAGAGGGATATAAACTCATATCAGGGCATACAAACTTAGAAGAAAGAAGAAAAAAAGCATCTTTTCAGTTGGATATAATCAATTGGAAAATTATTTATACATTCCTTTGTCATTGTCATCACCTTATTTTCTCTGAATACAAAACGGTTGAGAAACAACTCATACCAAAACGCCTCCTTTCTCTTTGTTATTGATGATGGTGGCTCCAGGTGGAAAGTATGCTGTAGTACTAGATGAGATATCTAAATTATCACAAAGCTCACCCTGGGTGCCACAGTCCATCCAGCCTACATTAACAAGACCTTCCTGTAATAAAAAAACCAACACAAAAATCAAAACCAAACACAAAACCAAAGAGTATTTTTTAATTTCAGGTTCAGAAATGCTTTTGAAAATCCCAACACAAGCAATTATATACAACATTTAGAAAATGGAAGGAAACCATACTGGAATTCATTAGGTAATATTAATTAATATTTTATAAAATTCTTTAAGACTTTAATGTTATTCCAATAGCTACTAAGTTAAAAATATTTCAGTCTTCTGAAAGTTAACGGGTGAAATCTTGGTTCCACTAAACACAGTGAGAGTTTTAGCCACATGTTGATGCTTTCACTTCTGTTATTTTATTTTAACTATAACAGGTAATGCTTTCAAAGTGAAGCGCTGCTTACCAACATGCCAGCTAGCTTAAGGCGTGTTTGGTAACTCAGGCAATCTGCAAAATAAAAATTATTTATTTACAAACATAAAATTTCAAATTATTAATGCACTAAGCCTACTCTTGTTTAGAATTACCCGTTTCCTCCCCACAAAGGTGACCATTTCAAAAGGCATGCTTCCTGGCTATTCATTCAGTATTTCAGTGACTTTAAGTTGTAACATCTAGTAATCAGCACTTGATGGTTGTCTACTCTAAGTTAAAAATAACATGAATAACACTCTCTTCCTTCATCAACACAGAATTCTCATTTAAAAAAATTTAATATTTTATTTGCTATACTAAGACTGACCTCTAAAATTTCTCCTTAATCAATGTTTAAAAAACACCCAAGAGGTATCTACATACTGTCTTGGAATGAAATTTCAATGGAAATATCAATTTTCTGTGATTCAAACAATAACTCACTATAATAAATACATCATATGCTCTAATTACTCATCCAGACTTTGAATAGTTACCTTCTGATGCAGATTTTTTTCTGAAATAAGAAGATGCATCGACCTCACTTCAATTGGACCAAAATTGAAAACTTAATAAGGACTGCAACTTGAAACCAAGTTATTTGCAAATGTAAATCCAAGACTGCAGCTCTGGTTATTCAGTTTACAGAACAAAGGTCTCTTCATAAGACCAAGAAAACTTTATTTGTCAAAGGTGTAGCGCATTCACTTAGTTCTACCAGCTAAACAAGGCAACTTTCTCATATACCATATCCAACACTGATCCCAAGAAAGTCAGTGACAAGCAGCTACAAAAAAATAATGCAAATCTAAACTCTGTCATGACATCAGTGCTAAGAGCCAATTACTATGTCCAAACCTAACTTAAGAGCAAATATTCAGCTAATTTTTGAGTGTTGGTGGTTTAAAGGGAAGATACATCCTTTATTCTACTCTGTTATCATGACAAGCTGGCATGCACCTATGCAATATCTGTCATTTGAGCTTGAGCTGGAAACTGAAGTTAGAGGCCTCTTCTATCAGTTCCCTTCCCTGAGGGCTTACACTTGAGTGCCTTTTTAATGGCTTACATGACATTACAGAAGCACAAGAGCATAATTTTTCTATTAATGTCCCTTTTGTTAAACTGCCTCTAAAATAGAGCTTACGTGACCCACAGTCCAAATACTGTTGTGATCCAAGATGTTTTAAAACCTTTTATTAGAAGCAAAAGGGATTATGCCACCGTCAACAGAAATACTTCTTTTTCCTGTTTGCCTTATTTGAACAGTACTTAATACACCTACCCCCACGTTCAGCACAGAAGGTGATCAGCCAACCAACACCAGAAGCAAATGAAGTTTCAATGGCATTAACAAAGTTTCCTAAGAGTGAAACAATTTGCATCAGTTTGTGACTAAATGTGACTATGAAACAAGGTTTTCTATTTATAGTAACAAATTACAGTAAACTACTTTTAATCTCAAAAAAGCCCCTTAGCAACAGTTGACAGATTCAGTTGTATACATTATTTCTGCCATATTTGTACTGTAAAAGCAATTGCAAGAACAACACCCCAAGCAAAATACGTGAACATTACCTGCCCATAACTCGGTGACTGTGCTTGTAACATATTGCATGGCAAAGTTCTTTAAGCTCTCTTTTGACCTGTCTCCATAATATTTCACTGGTTGCTATAGAAAACAAAGAATAAAAGTTTCTACAATTAAAAAAAAAAAAAGAAAAGAAAAAAAAAAGAAAAAACCACCCCCAAACCCACTGTTTTTTTAATAACAGTATGTATGCAACTGCAGGACACCACTCTCTCCCCCTCGCCCCTCCCACCCTTAGCTCTAATTGTTCTCTCCCTCCCATATTGGAATATTTGGAATTTAACTTCTATTTAAATTTTATAAAATGATTTCTTTCCAAGTCCAGCAACACAAGGATAATGTAGTCTTAGAAACACCAATTCCCAATGATTGTATTTCTACTTAAATAAAAATTGCTTGCATCAATCCATTTAGTGTATTCACAATCTCTGTGTTCAACCTCTCAAATCTTATCATTGTCAAAACGTACCCAACCATTCAAGTGCAATTTGTACACCACCCCTGGCACCACTACTTGTGTGGAAGGAATTTCCAAGTTGCTTTAGGTACATGGTCATATCCTTTAGACTCAAAACCACAGACTATTCTTTGTATTTGAAAAGTTCATTGCAATACCATAAGAGAAACTGTTCAAGTAGACTTGTTGCTTTGCTACAGCACCACTGCCGACAGTATCTTCCCAAACCAGAAGTGATACGTTGCATGGTAAAATGATTTAAAAAACTCACTGTATAAACCAGATATCTATTTTCAAAGTTAACATTCTAAATTAATTTAACCAATGTGAAAGATGAGAAAAAGTAATTTATTAAAAGGAAGTTATATATTAAAAGCAAGACCTTCATATAAACACCTGTGATTCAACAAGTATTAAATACTTTTCCAGATTTCAGTCTTTCTAAAAACACTTGAAGTTTTATCACTCACCATTCCAGTTTTGAAAACATACAGACTGGGATAGCTGTTAATCCCTTTAATTCGACAAAGCATTCTATTATCTCCACAGTTGACAGCTCCAATGCGTATTACTCCATCCATCTCTTTGGCAAACTCCCTCCACTAGAAAAAAGGCAAAAAAAGAAAAAAAAAAAAGAAAAAAAGAAGTATTTTTCTATAAAGATATAATGAAAAATCAGCACATGTTTTATTCCTGGCAACTTGAATTGTAGTCTCTGGCTTCAGCTTCAGTGTAAAAATCCACTTCATTAAGTTTTATGCTGTTAAAAACAATGAACTTTCAGAGTTAATTTGCTTGTTATACATACCGTAGGTGCTAACTCGTGGCAGTGGGAGCATCGAGGAGAATAAAAATTCACAAACCACAGTTCTCCTGAGTTAACAGCAGCATCTAGATGGACAGAAGAAAATTCTAAGTAGTGCACATCTACAATGTAGTTATATCTAGAATGTACCTTTTTACTATATTGTTTTCCCCAAAAGCTGAATTAAGTATTTTTATGTCAGACACAGTAACAGTAACTCAGACGGGATAAAGATTGCACCTAACTTGCACATACCTGCTGTTGTAGGCAAGTGCACAAAAATAATATTTCAGAGAATATCAGCACCCTGACTTTCAACATCTGTTCTATTAATTAAGAATAAAATATACTCTCTACTTTCTACCTAGCTGAAATGCGTGACAGTATAAGTCTGGTTACCTTAAAAACAAAATATAAGTGCTAAAAGATTTTTACCCACTAGAACTTTCCATTTCCTTATATCATTTTATGTGTATTTTCTGGGTTCCACCAGGCAATCTTTTTATGTAGAATCCCTGTCTAATAGGTGAAAATGCAATGTAAAAAATCTAAGTTAATATAATTACTAGAAAAGTCAAGGGAAACATAATTAAATACTCTTGCTTATAAAAGAAAACAACAGCAACAAAGTATACACACACAGAGGTTATCAGCTTGAATTACATGGCTTTCAGTCTCTCCATTTTTGGACATAATTTTTATAGTGAATTTTCTAAATTATATTCACCTATATTAAAATATTCTCACAACCAGACAACTAAGGGATGTGTAGATTCTGCTAATCAATTAACCAAAGCAAGGCCAGGTTCTTATGGAGAGCATCATGAGGTTCTGCTATTAGAACAGTTTACAAAACTGGTTCAGCGTGTAGATCCAGTATGTACAAAGGAAACTGTACTCAAAATGCAGATGAAAAGTCACACAAAATCCAATAGTTTTTCTCTCTAGTCTCTTTTAAACATCTTAGCTATAATTTTAAAAGAAAAAAACCTGGATTATATCCTCACTGAGTGTTATCTTTCCAGACCTTGTTTTACTTAGCTGAGTTTTTAGTATCTGGTATCACCTTCTGATCTTGAACCTCTTGTGCAAGGCACAATTGACTGGATTTCACAGAAAACAATTAATAGAAGTAAAATAGAAAAGTTCTATCAAGTGCATTTTTAGAAAAGAGACCAAAAAATAGTAATGATAAATTAGGAGATACAAAATTTTAATTCAATAATTTCCTCTTAGAGATCTCACAAAGTATCTTTCAAACTTAATCTAAACTGTTTATTGATACTGATCTATTTGCTAACTAGCATTTACCAGGAAGTGTTAAAAGGCCTTTTTGTTTGTTTTCTCATCTGAAGATGATTTTCTGACAGTTTTTGGTATAGATATGTAACAGAAGTCTATAGAAACACAGCTCAGAACATAAAAATTGTTACTTTCGGTTGCGATGTTGTCAAACGGATAGCTATTTATTTAAAACTTACCAAATTCTCCTCTATCCAATGTTATAATTTCAGGATCGTCATCATAAATACCTATTTAAAAAAACAACAATTGCTTTTTATTTTTGCCATCTTTAAAAGGAAGAAACAAACTATCATCTTATTCACAAGACAGAAAACAGAAGACAGTACACCTAAGTTGAAATAGTAAGCTGGCAAAGATAGTTTTTACAACAAAGCTATATTTGTTTAGTAATATGTAACCTTAGTTTAATTTCTTGCTAACTCCCGCACCCTCATGCTACAAAAGCCACCAACAGAACAGAACAGTTCTTTCGGTGTTTTAGTAGACCAGCCACCGAGTGAGCAGAGAACTTGAACTACCACTGCTACGGCAAGAGTATTAGAAATAACATCAACCAGTTGTCAGATTAAAATCCAGGAAGCTACAGCTCTCAGTGAGAGTGCTATATGTAATGTCTAGAAGCTTTCACTTCTTCTCTCAGCCTCTGGTTATCTAAACTATTTAGATCACAAAGGCGTTTCAGCCACAAGATTTTCCACTAACAGAATGTGTGAATGCTGTGGAATAATGTGGACAGAATACAGGTAAGTAAGACAGCTTTTCTAAAAAGCTAACCAGTCCTACCTAGAACATTACTACAAAACAGTCTACTACTTCAAGTACGCAAGAAAGGCAGTGCAGAGATACCAAAAATACTATTAGACAGCATTGTATTATGCTACTATGGCTACAGATCTTTTACAGTACCTAACATGGTGAGATGCCATTTCACCTGAGGTATACAAGGATTAAATGCAAATAAATAATAAGAGAAATTAATTTCTACAGGTGACAAGGTATTTTTTATATTACTGTCCATTTGTATATCATATATACATTATACATACACTTGTCCATAGGTATATATATCTATTTTTATATACACACACACACATATATAAAATGTAAAAATATTAAAATCTCCAAATGACTGGTTAATACATATGCAAGGATATTGTTTCTCAATCAAGCAGTGCAACTTCAGGCAGATAAAATTTCTTAAATCTGTTTATCTGAAGAAGTTTTAGGATAATTTCCATATTTTCCTGTGATAGTTGCACCTCTGGTTTATTCAATTTCAATTTGCACAGACATTACTTTTTAAAAGATTGGGATATATTAAATCAAACTACACCAGAAAAACTTTTTCTTTCGTATCAATCAAACCATGTTCTCAGGTCCCTATTTTAGCTTACTCCTGTTACAGCAGCTCTGAGAATGGTTTATTCCAGCCTTTCCGTACAACTACCTAAAATTGGTTGAGACAAACATTAAATAACTTGTCTCAAGATCATTTCAGGTATGATTCTGTTATTACTTTTTAAGTTTCTACTACATCTTTACTCATCTCTAATTGTGTAACTGCATATAAAATACGGTTGACGGTGCAAAAATCTCTCAAAATCCAATTGAGAATACTTTATCTAAACAAAAAAGGTCTTCCTGCATTAAAGAGTTAAAAAGCATACTGATGAAACATAAACAGTGGAATTTAAGTGGGGGAAAAAAAAAAAAAAAAAGCTTTGCACTTCAGAAAAAAACAAGAAGTTAGATGACCAATAAAAAGGAAAGCAGCAGGAACAAAAGGCTAGGTAAGCATATTACTACATTTTTGGTATTTTTGGGTAGCCATTAACACAGTAAATAAAAGACTGGGTCAACAGAGAGAAAATGACAGCTACAGGAAAAGAATAGAGCAGGCAGAAATCAGGAGAGGATGCATGAGAAATGCATAAAAAGATCTGATATACATCTGAATATTGCATTTACTTGTGACTGTTTTAAGCAAATCGCAAATATACATCATAACTTACCAAAATCATAGCGATAATAGTGCCAGCTTTCATAACGACCTCCTTGCTGCTGATCTTCAAGACCTTTCTCTCCGTACTTATCATACTTCTTCCGTAGATCTTCATCTTTAAGTACTTCATATGCTCTATTTATTTTCAAAAAATTTTCATGTGCATTTGGGTCATTCTATGTAAGGGAAACTATAATTAGTAAGTGATTAATAAACCATATTGTACATATAATGCTGAGAAAATAATCTTTGGAAATATTTTTAAATCCCTACTAAAGATGTCAGTTGTGATGGAAACAGACATTACACAGTGATCTCCAAACAAACTACAGTAAAGTTTTCCTTTCCTGAAGCCAGATGCGTCTTCTCATTTCTTCATCCTCACTGAAGTACCAACTGAAATCAAAGCAAACTGATAGGAGGCTGTAACATTCTCCAGTGATTTCTCTTCTTTCAACTCTTTTTCTCCAATGGAAGAAAAAAAAAAATACTTAAGAATGAAGACTTACCATTTCCTCTGCAATCTTTTCTACTCCCCTAGAATCCCCAGTTGTCCAGTTTGAAAATCTCTGCTATAAAGCCAGATTCATCCTTTCTGATCTTACGGTGTAGACAAAGGCCCCCTTTTTTATTTAAAAAGCATTCTGGTTCTAGGTAGCTTTGGAATTAGAACAGTGAAAAATCTCCAGACATATTTTGAACCCCAGTTTGGGTTCTGAGATGGTGCAGTATAAAGTTGTAGCAAAGTCTGCAGCACTCTCCCACCCTTTTAACTTCTGCTTACACGTTTCCTTCAAAAGACACTTCTTAAAGATTCTTGACTTATTTACCTAGATACACATGAAATGAATTACCATTACAGAATTTGTGTAATGGCTTCATCTTCTATCATCTTTAATGTTGAAAATAACTTGTTGAAAAATATTTAGTAGTATTTGCATACTTGGACACTACAGAATCTGACCCAAAATGTTATTATCTTGAAGGTATCAACACAGGCAAAACAAAACTTGCAGTTAATAGCTACAAGCTGGCATTTCTAACTTTGTTGAGATTTGGATTTCTCTTTGAGCTTTGTCATGTTCAAATCCATTGTAAAACATTAGTGCCTCAGAGGCTTCAATGTATTCTGTGCAGGAGGGCCCTGAGCTCATATGGAACATTACTGTCTTCTGGGGCTCTGTGCAGGGGCAGTTGCACATACAAAGATCCAAAACCTCCTATTTCCTGTGAATTTCTGATTATTTCAGGAAATCTTGAGGAAAAACTGATGATGTTTAAAGTTAAAAGTGATTTCTTTGTACTTTGAAAAATATGGTAGCACAGACTGAGCCATTCCCAGTCTTCTCTCTCTGGTTATTCTAGAGCTCCTTATTACCCTCCCTTGTTATGCCTCGGCAGTCCCAGAATTTCTGCTTTGTCCTATTCGATACTTGGAGATTGATGTCTCAGTACAGGCTGGTATTGTTTGCTGTTTAGATGAGACTTCATGTTAGGGTAACAGTAAGTTCCCCTAAGCTAAACAGAAAGAGACAAACTCATCAGTTTACCAACAAGGTACTACGTACAGACAAATTTTCTTCTATTTACAAAAATATAAAAGAGAATTAAATGATCTTGGCTCTTTTTTTCACCACAGCAACTTAATATGGCCCAAATTCAACACAGCAATGCATGACCAGTCTATCCCTTTTTGTAAATTTTCTCTGCAGAAAATCTGAGCGGAAGCATGTTACGAGGTGGTTATGTTACTTCACAAGAGCAGAGAAACATTTTAGATAAATTAAAACCACTTTTTATTTAAACATTAAGATCCACGAACTCAACAACTTTGACCTGTTAAAGATGTAACTTACCTGGTTTTTATCAGGGTGCAACTTTAATGCCAGTTTTTTGAATGCTTGTCGTATTTCTCTACTACTTGCTTCTTTGGATACTCCAAGTAAACTGTAGTAGTCCTGATCAGTGCACACAAGAACTATGACACATACTAAAACTAGCAATAAAGATCTTTTGAAATATCTAATATAATCTCCTTTGGATACTAAGAATTCCATTATGAAGCTTTTAGAAAGTTTATGGGTTCTGATTCGAGGAGGCTTTGGGAAGACTCTCCAGTAAATCCACCAACGTTCAGAGATACAGCCGTATTTATGACAGAACTCTTCAAAATGCTGGCTGTCCTACTTCATGTCACAAGTCTTGCAAAAGTTACAACCTGTAAGAGGAGGGAGGAAAAAGCAATTAAGTACATTTTCCTTCTTATTCAATAAATACGTGTTAGTACAGAACCCCAAGGCCGGCTCGTGCAGACTGCGTGTGACGATTACGTCTCCTGATGGCTAACTGCCTGCTGTCTGAAGACCACGCGAGTGAGAGACCATCTCTACTATGGACATCGTGAATGAGGTAATCACGCAAAGCTCTACTGAGCGACACTGAATACCAGCCGCTTAGATGGCATCAAAAAAGCCCGTTTAGTAGGGCACACTTTTCCTTCAAACTTACTTTTAGTCTCGCAGGGGGACATGTCTTCCGAAAGGACCCGGTAGCTCTGAGCCAGCCGCCGCTCCGGGGCGGAGGGCTGCCCGCCAAGGAGGCGGCGGACGCCCCTCGCAGATAAAGCCGGGCAGAGC